CTTGCTGACCAAAAGGTTGGCAGTTCGAATCTGGGGAGCGGAGTGAGCTCCCACTGTTAACCCCAGCTTCTGCCAACCTGTTGTTGTTCATTCGTTCAGTCATTTCCGACTCTTCGTGACTTCATGGACCAGTCCACACCAGAGCTTCCTGTCGGGCGTCACCACCCCCAGCTCCTTCCAGGTCAATCCAGTCACTTCAAAGATACCATCCATCCATCTTGCCCTTGGTTGGCTCCTCTTCCTTTTTCCGTCCATTTTCCCCAGCATAATTGTCTTCTCTAAGCTTTCCTTTCTTCTCATGATGTGGCCAAAGTACTTCATCTTGGCCTCTACTATTCTGCCAACCTAGCAGTTCAAAAATATGCAAATATGAGTAGATCAATAGGTACTGCCTTGACAGTAAGGTAACAGCGCTCCATGCAGTCATGCCTATGGCCACATGACCTTGGAGGTGTCTACGGACAACGCTGGCTCTTTGGCTTAGAAATGGAGATGAGCACCAGAGTCCCAAAGTTGGATACAACTAGACTTAATGTCAGGGGGAAACCATTACCTTTACTATGCCTTTCAACACTATTCTGTATTGCACAAGAGTTGGGGTTTTGTCTTCTCTTTATTGGGTTTTAAAATTGTAATTCTTTCTGACCTTTTCCATGTTTCAGGGATGGTTCTGTTTTTCAGTATCTCGTTAAATAATATTCCTAGATTAGGGATGATGTCAGATTGGAAACTTTTATCAAAGTGAAAAGTAAAGCCGTTGGGACCAGGGGAAGAGTTTGGTTTGAGGTTATTCGTAACCTCTTCAATTTCCTTCCCTGGTGATCCTTCTGTTCCGTCCTACTTGTGCCTGTGGGTCTACATCAGTGGTTCTCAACCTTCCTAATGCCGCGACCCCTTAATACAGCTCCTGATGTTGTGCTGATCCCCCAACCATAAAATTATTTTCATTGCTACTTCATAACTGTAATTTTGCTACCGTTAAGAATCGTAATGTAAATGTCTGATATGCAAGAAGTATTTTTATTAACTGGACAAAATTTGGCACAATGACCCGATATGCCCAAATCTGAATAGTGGTGGGGTTGGGAGGGGGGTTGATTTTGTCATTTGGGTTTTGTAGTTGCTGGGATTTATAGTTCACCTATAATCAAAGAGCATTCTGAGCTCCACCAATGATGGAATTGAACCAAACTTGGCACACGGAACTCCCATGACCAACAGAAAATACTGGAAGGGTTTGGTGGGCATTGACCTTGAGTAAGGGAGTTGTAGTTCACCTACATCCAGAGAGCACTGTGGACTCAAACAAGGATAGATCTAGACCAAACTTGGCACGAATACTCAAGATGCCCAAATGTGAACACTGGTGGAGTTTGGGGAAAATAGACCTTGGCATTTCAGAGTTGAAGTTGCTGGGACTTATAGTTGATCTACAATCAAAGAGCATTCTGAACCTCACCAACAATAGAATTGGACCAAACTTCCCACAGAGAACCCTCATGACCAACAAAAAATATTGTGTTTTCTGATGGCCTTTGGTGACCCCTCTGACACCCCTTCACAACCCTCCCAGGGGTCCCGACCCCTAGGTTGAGAACCACTGGTCTACATTTCTTATATTGATTCCCTCTAATCTTCCCATTCCAAGCGGTTATTTTGTGATTGAGACCCAGTGGGAGTGAGCTTGGTCCAGTTTTGGCAAGAATGATTAATGTAGTTTATTCGGCTGCAGTCTCAATTTTAAAGTCTTGTTTTTAAATGCTTATCCATCAGAACGCCGTACAATCAATGCAATTTGACATGATTTGAACTGCCACGGAATCACAGGAGCTATAGTTTGACACGGTTTTGAGCTGTATTGCTGCCTCACCAAGCTACAACTCCTGTGATGTCCTAACATCGAGTTGTGTTAGGACAACGTGGATGTGCCCTCGAAGCCTTTGAAAGACAGTTTTGCTGTTGCGACTGCTCTTGAGTAGGAGGAACACGTTGCCACTTGCACTTCAATGAATATGTATGGCTTTACAAGCTTCATTTGCATCGGAGTCCTGGCTGTTAACCATGGGCACGACATGAAAATAAAAGAAGGGTGTGGTACATGTTGTTTCGTCTGCTCCGCCGCTGAAGCCTGTGTTTGGAAATACTTGCGTGGATGGGCATTCGTGCTTTCCTTTTGCCCCATGGTTGGAAGAGATGGGCTGAAGAGGAAGGCTTGAATATTGTTTTGTATGAGAAAGAAAGAAGGAGAAGGGCCTTTTTTAGCAAGAGAGGATGAGAGATCCCACACTTGGCAACGTGGCTTCTGCCCGCGTGCAGAAGGCAGGTTGCCAACCCTGGCAGAGGCTGTGCCCTTTGCTTGCCAGGCGTCTTCTCTTGCCGGCGACATAGTTCCTTTTTTCACCTGATTGTTCCTTTGCAGCCTCTGCTTTCTAGCAGCGAAGGGTGGGCTTCTTCCAGATTGCTTGCAAAAGAACTCACACAGTGGTTTTCAACTTGGGGTCCCCAGATGTTTTTGGCCTACAACTCCCAGAAATCCTAACAGCTGATAAACTGGCTGAGATTTCTGGGAGTTGTAGGCCAAAAGCATCTGGGGACCCCAGGTTGAGAACCACTTCTTTAGAATCAGTAAATAATTCATCTCGTAGCTCAACAATTCTTCAGGCCACCCAAGGAAAGCAAGAGACACCAGAGGCGTTGGGTGGGTGGTTGCACCACTTCATCATACAAGTCCATCCAAAATATTGATAAGCCTAGCAAAAAGTGCCTTGGAAAATTCATGGGAATGTCCTGGAGCTCTTCAACAGATGAGGCATGGGCAAACTTCAACTCTAAATCCGTCATGGGCAAACTTGGGCTGCCCAGGTGTTTTGGACTCCAACTCCCAACATTCCTAACAGCCTCAGGCTCTTTCCTTTTCCTCCTCAGCCGCTACTAGTAATATGTAAGATTCCTCTCACTTCTTGTGGTCTCAGACCCATTCTTCATTAGGAGTAGTTTGCAAGTCAGATGTTTGGACTGCCGGTGTATGTATGTGTATGTTTATATGTATATGTGTGTATATATATACTACTCCTTTGTGGGATAAGCGGAACTCAAAAACCACAGGGCGAATTGACACCAAATTTGGACAACATACACCTAACAACCCAATGTATGTCCTTCACTCAAAAAGAATTGATCTTGTCATTTGGGAGTTGTAGTTTCTGGGATTTATAGTTCACCTATAATCAAAGAGCATTCTGAACTCCATCAACGATGGAATTGAACCAAACTTGGCACACAGAACTCCCACAACTGACAGAAAATACTGGAAGCGTTTGGTGGGCGTTGACCTTGAGTTTGGGAGTTGTGAGTTGTAGTTCACCTGCATCCGGAGAGCACTGTGGACTCAAACAAGGATGGATCTGGACCAAACTCTACACGAATACTCAATATGCCCAAATGTGAAAACTGGTGGAGTTTGGGGAAAATAGAATCTTGACATTTGGGAGTTGTAGTTACTGGGATTTGTAGTTCACCTACAATCACACAGAACCCCCATGACCACCAGAGTAGGCCACAGCAACGCGTGGCAGGGGACAGCTAGTAATATATAAGATTCCTCTCTCTTTCTGTGCTCTCAGCCCCGCTCTTAACTACAAGTAGTTTGTAAGTCAAATGTTTGAACTGCCTGTATATACATAAAGTAATAATATTATAATAATACTATATATAAATAAAAATGTAATGTTCGTTTGTGGGATTAACATAACTCAAAAACCTCTGGATGAATTGACACCAAATTTGGACACAATACACCTATAAGGCCAATGAGTGACCATCACTCATAAAAACATTGGAAAACACAGGAAAAGGAACTTTAAAAGCCAAAAAAACCCAAAAAGATGGTACAGCGCAAGTGCAAAAACTACTTCTCCCCAACAAACAAAACACAAAATAGTATATCCACACTCTCTTCTGGACTACAGCTCCCAGCATCCCCTAGACCAGGCCCTACAGGAAAGGAGGCTGATCCAGATGCACTGCTTCCAAGATGCAAGTTTTCTTCTCCTTGAATTTCTTTGAGAGCATCCCAATCCCTGCATATTTCCAATTTCCTATTCCTGGGCTGCAACTCTCAGCAATCCTCCAGATAGATAGATTAGATGGAGATAGATTGGTAGGTGAGTAGATCGATCAGGAGGACTACTGGGAGTTGCAGTCCAAGAACAGGTAGAGAAGGGAGAAAGGGGAAGAGAAAGAAAAGGGGGGAAGGAGAAGAAAGAAAGAAAGAAAGAAAGAAAGAAAGAAGGGAGGGAGGGAGGGAGGGAGGGAGGGAGGGAGGGAGGGAGGGAGGGAGGGAAGGAAGGAAGGAAGGAAGGAAGGAAGGAAGGAAGGAAGGAAGGAAGGAAGGAAGGAAGGAAGGAAGGAAGGAAAAAATTGAAGGAAGGAAAGAGAGAGGGAAGGAACGAGAGAAAGAAAGAAGGAGAGAAAGAAGGAGCTTGGTCACAGTGACGCGGGACAGGTACAGCTAGTATATAAATAAAAATGTAATGTTCATTTGTGGGATCAACATAACTCAAAAACCACTGGACGAATTGGCACCAAATTTGGACACAACGCATGTATCAGGCCAATGTGTGACCATCACTCATAAAAACACTGAAAAACACAGCAGAAGAGACTTAAAAACCCAAAAAACCCAAAATATACATTACAACGCATGCGCAAAACTACATATATATATGCAAACACACATATACACAAATATATACACACATATATACACACACAAAACACATATACACAGACTGGGCCACAGCAACACATGGCAGGGGACGGCTAGCTAGTACTAGCTAGTACTTCCTTGAACTTCCTGTGGTCTCGGCCTCGTTCTTAACTAGGAGTCTTTTGGAAGTCAGATGCTTGTAACTTGGGGACTGCCAGAGGGAAGCAGTCGGTTGCTCTCCTGCCATTAACTCCCGGTCTCTTACTGTTTTCTGCTTGTGTCTCTTTTGCAGAGTGTCCCAGATCTTGCGGGAAAAATGCGTGCACCGAGCACAACGAATGCTGCCACCCGGAATGCTTGGGGAGCTGCACCATGCCCAACAACAACACGGCATGTGTGGCTTGTCGCAACTACTACCATGATGGCGCATGCGTGCCCACCTGCCCCCCCAACACCTACAAGTTCGAGGGCTGGCGCTGCATCACCAAGGAGAACTGCTCCCGAATCCTGCTTTCTCCGGAGAGCCTCGAGTACGAGAGCTTTGTGATCCATGAGGACGAGTGTCAGCACGAGTGCCCGCCTGGGTTTATACGCAATGATACACAAAGGTAAGGGAGATCGGTGCATTGTAAGACACCATCGATTGTAAGACTCTCATTTCAGTCCCACCACCCTCAACAAAAATCGATAAGACAACCTGCGATTCTACAATGCACCCCATTTTCAGAGGTGTTTATATAGGAATATGGAGCCCCCGGTGGCGCGGTGGGTTAAAGTGCTGAGCTGCTGAGCTTGTTGACCGAAAGGTCGCAGGTTCGATTCTGGGGAGCGGCGTGAGCTTCCGCTTTCAGCCCTAGCTTCTGCCAACCTAGCCGTTCGAAAACATGCAAATGTGAGTAGATCAATAGGTAACGGCAGGAAGGTAACGGCAGTCCATGCAGTCATGCTGGCCACATGACCTTGGAGGTGTCTATGGACAACGCCGGCTCTTCGGCTTAGAAATGGAGATGAGCACCACACCCCAGAGTCAGACATGACTGGACTTAATGTCAGGGGACCTTTACCTTTTTATATAGGAATAGAGAGACTTAGAATTGAAGAAATACTGCACTTCAAAATACAGTGTTGTTGTTGATTTGCTTTACAGTGGACTCTCAGTTAACTGGCACCCACGCGGATTGGTAGGTATCCGATAAAGGTAGTTTCTGGTTGCTTGAGAGTTTGTATACAAATGAGTCCCCTTCGGGGGAGATAAAGTAGGGTATATATACACATGTAATACTGATCTATACACATAATAAAAGTGAATATATGTGTGTGTGTGTGTGTGGCTGGGGTATCCACTTACATCGACACGCTCCCGCTTCCACAAACAGCTATAGCTCTTATTACTCAGGAGACACCAAAGGCCCTCCCTCCAATGATATCGCGGGTTATAGTGAGTGCCATGAACATGTCCAAGAGCCCTGCCAATGTCCTCCACAAACACCATTCTGCCCACCACCCAAGAGAAGCCTTTCATTTAGGGACAATTTTATCGTAGATTATATGTGTTTCCTCCACCACAAACATCCCAGTGTTCCTTACTCTCTCCAATAAGTGGAATTTGCATGAACCTGCCACTGCCTCTGTCTTAACCCATTCCTATTTTTTTTCTATGGCACACAGCAAACAGAGGAATTGATCAGCAACTGAACATACTAGAGAGGTTTGGGGAGAATTCACCATGATTTATAGGAATTGTAGGTACTGGGATATATAGTTCACCTGCAATCAGTGAGCCCTCTGAACTCCATCAAAGATGGACCTGGGACTAACTTGTCACACAGAACTCCCATGACCAAGTAAACATATTGGGAGATTTGTACAAGTTGTAGTTCACGTACATCAAGGGCGCACTATAAATCCAACAATGATTGATCTGGACCAAACTTGGCATCCATACCCAATATGCCCAAATTGATCACTGGTAGGTTTTGAGTGGAATTGTCCCTAATATTAATCTATATAAATAAAAATGTAATGTTCGTTTGTGGGATCAACAGAACTCAAAAAACACTGGACGAATTGACACCAAATTTGGCCACAAGACACCTACTAACCCAAAGAATGACCATCCCTAAAAAAAAATTTGATTTTCTCATTTGGGAGTTGTAGGTACTGGGATTTGTAGTTCACCTGCAATCAATGAGCACTCTGAACTCCACCAAAGATGGAATTGGACCACACTTGGCACACAGAGCCCCCATGACCATCAAAAAATATTGGAGGCCTTTGAGGAAAATTCACCTTGATTTGGAGGAGTTGTAGTTCACCTACATCCAGAGAGCACTGTGAACCCAAACACTGATAGATCTGGACCAAACTAGGGTACATACCGGATATGCTGAAATTTGATTACTGGAGGGGATTGGGGGTGGGGTTGGGGGAAGAATTGACATTCCATTCTGGGAGTTGTAGTTCACCCACAACCAGAGAAACTGTGACCTCCACTGATGATGGACCTGGACCAAACTTGGCACACAGAAGTTCCATGACTAACTCAACATACTGGAGGGATTTGAGGGGACTAACCCAGCATAATGAGAGTTATAGTTTACATCCAGAGAGCACTGTGAACCCCTCCGATGATGCATCTTAAGCAAACTTGCCCAGCGTGACAAACTTTCATTACTGATGGAGTTTCTGGGGGTTAACCTGGCATGATATGAGTTGTAGTTCTACCCATTTTGTACAATTACAAAATTGACTTTTTCAAATAACCCGGGTAATGCCAGGCACCCAAGCTAGTAATAGTAATAGATTTAGGCCTGACTAATACTGTACTGCATACAATCTCCTAAACTCTGTATTGACTTTGATATTAATATCAAAAGAAATCAATTAACTTAATGTAGCATTTCCACTAAACAAAGATTTATTTTAATTTTTTAATTTTAAGTATTTTATTATTATTTTGCCCTTGCTTGAGAATTCCAGTAGCTTGAGTTCTGGTTAACTGAGAGCCTCCTGTGCTTGGTTTGCAAAAGTGTACCTTTCATGTTGCGTTGTAAAGTGGACCCTGTGATTGTCTCCCGTCCTTAATCAAATCTCTATCGATTTAGCTCCAAATTGGATTTAGACTCATGGAAATCCTAATCAGTGGAGGTGATGAGGGTAATTGAATACAGACATTATTGAAGTCCCTCAACACAGAAATCTGAAAGGTGCAGGGAAAAGCCAGTTCTGCCTAATACGCACATGCGTATTTAATCATGAGCCATTGTGGTTTGTCTATTGGACTAAGACTAGGACTTGGGAAACTAGGGTTTGAAACCCCATTTAGCCATGGAAACCCATAAGCAAGTCAAATACACCAATGGCATTGTATTGGATGAAAACATGACATTTGTTTCATGAAACAACTGTTTGTGCCATCTGCTGTCCCTTGTGAGGTCTCCCCTTAAGAAATGCAGCTTGAGAATCGTACGACGTTTTGGAAGCATAAGATGAGCACGATAAACCCTTTTTAAAAGCAATGCCCAGATTCTGAGGTGGGTCTGGAATTGGTTAAATGGACGAACCCAGAGGGTGCTCACCAATGCTTCTTCTTCATCTTGGAAAGAAGTGACGAGCGGAGTGCCATCAGCAGGGTTCCGTCCTGGGCCCGGTCCTGTTCAACATCTTTATTAATGACTTAGATGAAGGGTTAGAAGGCAGGATCATCAAGTTTGCAGACGACACCAAATTGGGAGGGATAGCCAATACTCCAGAGGACAGGAGCAGGATTCAAAACGATCTTGACAGATTAGAGAGATGGGCCAAGACTAACAAAATGAAGTTCAACAGTGACAAATGCAAGATACTCCACTTTGGCAGGAAAAACGAAATGCAAAGATACAGAATGGGGGACAACGCCTGGCTCGAGAGCAGTACGTGTGAAAAAGATCTTGGAGTCCTCGTGGACAACAAGTTAAACATGAGCCAACAATGCGATGTGGCAGCAAAAAAAGCCAATGGGATTTTGGCCTGCATCAATAGGAGCAGAATGTCTAGATCTAAGGAAGTAATGCCACCCCTCTATTCCGCCTTGGTTAGACCACACCTGGAATATTGTGTCCAATTCTGGGCACCACAATTGAAGAGAGATATTGACAAACTGGAGTGTGTCCAGAGGAGGGTGACTAAAATGATCAAGGGTCTGGAGAATAAGCCCTATGAAGAACGGTTTAAAGAGCTGGGCATGTTTAGCCTGAAGAAGCTTTTAAACAGGGGCTGGATGGCCATCTGTCAGGGGTGCTTTGAATGCAATATTCCTGCTTCTTGGCAGAATGGGGTTGGACTGGATGGCCCATGAGGTCTCTTCCAACTCTTTGATTCTATGATTCTATGACTTGATAAACAGTACAATAGGTTGTTGTAGGTTTTTTCGGGCTATATAGCCATGTTCTAGAGGCATTCTCTCCTGACGTTTCGCCTGCATCTATGGCAAGCATCCTCCGAGGTAGTGAGGTCTGTTGGAACTAGGAAAAAGGGTTTATATATCTGTGGAATGACCAGGGTGAGACAAAGGGCTCTTGTCTGCTGGAGCTAGGTGTGAATGTCTCAACTGACCACCTTGATTAGCATTTGATAGCCTGGCAGTGCCTGGGGCAATCTTTTGTTGAAAGGTGATTAGATGTCCCTGATTGTTTCCTCTCTGTTTTTTTGCTGTTGTAATTTTAGAGTTTTGTAATACTGGTAGCCAGATTTTGTTCATTTTCATGGTTTCCTCCTTTCTGTTGAAATTGTCCACATGCTTGTGGATTTCAATGGCTTCTCTGTGTAGTCTGACATGGTGGTTGTGAGAGTGGTCCAGCATTTCTGTGTTCTCAAATAATATGCTGTGTCCAGGTTGGTTCATCGGGTGCTCTGAGTAGCCACAAGAGTCAAGACAAAGATCCACCCAGAGGAAAAGTGTTCTTGCCATACATCAAGGGAACCACTGACCGCAGAGGGAAGCTGATGAGGAAACACAACATACAAACCACCTACAGACCCACCAAGAAAATCCAACAAATTCTACGCTCAGCAAAGGACAAGAGGGATCCTCTCACTTCTGCAGGAGTCTACCGTGTACCATGCAGCTGTGGACAAGTCTACAGAGAGACCACCAAATGCAGCAGCATTGCCCAAACACGAATCAAGGAACATGAAAGGCACGGCAGACTACTTTAGCCATAGAAGTCAGCCATAGCAGAGCACCTTTTTTTGGAATTATAATCCTAACCAGTAATATTTCCAAAATTTTGGCCAGATCTCACTTCAATCCAGGCATGGGCAAACTTCGATCCCCCGGGTGTTTTGGATTTCAACTCCCATAATTCCCAACAGGTAGGAATTGTGGGAGTTGAAGTCCAAAACACCTGGAGAGACGAAGTTTGCCCACACCTGCTTTAATTGGTGCAGGATAAAGAGAGACACCGAAATACAACACCGCCTGAGCTCTACGAGCGCAGCATTTTTCCGAATGAAGCAGAGAGTGTTTGAGGACCGGAACATCAGTTGGGATACCAAGGTGCTTGTTTATAAAGCTATTGTCCTATATGCCTGCGAAACATGGAATGTGTACAGACGTCACATGCAACTCCTGGAACGATTCCATCAGCGCTGCCTCCGGAAAATCCTGCAAATCTCTTGGGAAGATAAGCATGTTGGAAGAAGCAAAGACCACCAGCATTGAAGCAATGGTCCTCTGCCATCAAGTCCGCTGGACCGGCCACATTGTCGGGATGCCCGACCACTGTCTCCCAAAGCAGTTGCTCTACTCCGAACTCATGAATGGAAAACAGAATGTTGATGGACAGGAAAAGAGATTTAAAGATGAGTTCAAAGCCAACCTTATAAACTCTGGCATAGACACTGAGAACTGGGAAGCCCTGGCCCTTGAGCGCTCCAGCTGGAGGGCAGATGTGACCAGCAATGCTGCAGAATTTGAAGAGGCACGAATGGAGGGTGAAAGAGAGAAACGTGCCAAGAGGAAGGCACGTTGAGCCAACCCTGACCAGGATCGCCTTCCACCTGGAAACCGATGCCCTCACTGCGGAAGAAGATGCAGATCAAGAATAGGGCTCCACAGCCACCTACAGACTCACAAGAATTCTGATCCTGGAAGACGATCCTACTCGGCCAACAAGGGATCACCTAATTAAAGTAAAGTAAAGTAGCGGCGATCCATGCAGTCATGCCGGCCACATGACCGTGGAGAATGCTGGCTCTTCGGCTTAGAAATGGAGATGAGCACCACACCCCAGAGTCAGACATGACTGGACTTAATGTCAGGGGACTACCTTTACCTTTTAAAGTAAAGTAAAAAGAGTTATGGCATTCTTATTTGCGAATTAAAAAAAATACTCCAACCAGTGGAGCTTTGATTTGATATAGTCTTGCCGTACAGCCCAGCAGGAGTGTTTGCTTTTGTTTGCCATTGAGCGAGTTTTCTGTGGACACCTGGTTGCTTTTCTTTGCTTTTGCGTTAGTTGTCCAAACAAACCTTCCTTTTACTCCTCGGATTGTCTAGTTTGCATACAGGTGCATTGCCCTGATCTCTGCCCCGAGGAAGTGGCCCAGTGTTTACTGGGAAATGTTTTCCCTGCCGCTATCTGACCACTTGTGTTTTCAGATGATTACAAGCACTCATAAAAACCATAACGTTCTTATCTTATCTGGGCCTCTGCCTTTATCAGGAAAATAGGATAGGTAATGTTGACGAGGCATGTGAAAATTACTCAGTCGTGGTATTATATGTATTATTGCAGCTGTTGGGTTTACTCCAACCAAATTGCAGAGTTTTGTGAACTGGGAATTTTTGCAAATTCATAGCGGGAGTTGTAGTTTACCCTACGGCCAGAGAGCACACTGAACCCCACCAGTGATGCCTGTAGAGCACATTTGCCCAATATAAGAAACTTTAAATACTGATGTAGTTTCAGGGTGTTAACCTGGCATGATGAGAGTTGTAGTTTACCCACAACCTTATGCATTTCAAATAACTCAGGCAGCGCCAGGTACCCAGGCTAGTCTATCTATCTATTCTCTCTATCTATCTATCTATCTATCTATCTATCTATCTATCTATCTATCTATCTATCTATCCATCTATCTATCTAAATGCTCTGTACATAATGAGTACCTTAAAAACAAAGGAACCAATTAATGAAATCACACCAAATTTGGCAACAAAACATCTCACAACGCAAGAAGTGACCATCACTCAAAAAATTATGTTTTTGTCATTTGGGAGTTGTAGTTGCTGGGATTTATAGTTCGCCTACAATCAAAGAGCATTCTGAACTCCACCAACGATGGAACTGAATCAAACTTGGTACACAGGACTCCCATGACGAACAGAAAATACTGGGTTTGGTGGGTTTGACCTTGAATTTGGGAGTTGTAGTTTACCTATATCCAGAGAACACCGTGGACTCAAACAATGATGGATCTGGACCAAACTTGACAGGAATACTCAATATGCCCAAATGTGAGCACAGATGGAGTTTGAGGGAAATAGACCTTGACATTTGGGAGTTGTAGTTACTAGGATGTATAGTTCACCTACAATAAAATAGCATTCTGAACCCCACCAACGATGGAATTGGGCCAAACATCCCACACAGAATCCCCATGACCAACAGAAAATACTGTAGTTTCTGGTGGTCTTGGGTGATCCTTCTGATACCCCCCCTGGTGCCCCCCCCCCCGGGGGGGGGGCTTGACTTTCCAGGTTCAGAAAAGCTGCCTTAAGGCCATCCAGTCCAACTCCCTTCACCAGGGGGTGAATAATCAAAGGAAACATAAGGAAACATAATCAAAGCCCTCCTGACAAAGGGCCATCCAGCCATTCATGCACACACATATAACATATATGTATATGACAGATGCAGTATCAAAGATTTGAAAGGGACCCCTAAAGAAGGATAATGATATGTTGCATGTTCCAGAGTAGGCAGACCAGACAATCTCCACATCAACACTGGCAAAGAAACAGAAGATATACTGTTTACCCACAAGCATCAAGACATTACATATATTAGAAACCAACCCCTTCTCATTACTTTATTTTCCAGATAACCAGACTAGGCCACAGCAACGCATGGCAGGGAACAGCTAGTAATATATAAACCTTTCTTGGGGCTCCACAAGAAACCTTTGCTTCAATAAGGGTTCCACAGCTGAAAAAGTTTGAGAACCACTAGACCAGTGTTTCTCAACCGTCCCAATGCTGCGATCCCTTAATACAGTTCCTCATGTTGTGGTGACTCCCAACCATAAAATTATTTTTTTGTTGCTTCTTCATAACTGTAATTTTGCGACTGTTATGAATTGTCATGTAAATCTCTGATATGCAGGATGCATTTTCATTCACTGGACCAAATTTGGCACAAATACCCGATACACCCACATTTGAATACTGGTGAGGTTGGGGAGGGCATTGATTTTGTCATTTGGAAGTTGTAGTTGCTGGGATTTATAGTTCACTTACACTCATAGAGCATTCCGAACTCCACCAGTGATGGAATTGAACCAGTCTTGGCACACTGAACCCCCATGACCAACAGAAAATACTGGAAGGGTTTGGTGGGCATTGGCCTTGAGTTTTGGAGTTGTAGTTTACCTACATCCAAAGAGCACTGTGGACTCAAACAATGATGGATCAGGGCCTAACTTGGCACAAATACCCAACATGCCCAAATGTGTACAGTAGTGGAGTTTGGGGAAAATAGACCTTGACATTTGGGAGTTGTAGTTAATGGTATTTATAGTTCACCTACAATCAAAGAACATTCTGAACTCCACCAATGATGGAATTGAACCAAACTTGGCACAAAGAACTCCCATGACCAACAGAAAATACTTGAAGGGTTTGGTGGTCACAGTCCTTGAGTTTGGGAGTTGTAGTTCACCTACTTCCGGAGGGCACTGGACGATAGAATTGGGCCAAACTTCCCACACAGAACTCTCATGACCAACAGAAAATACTGTGTTTTCTGGTGGTCTTTGGTGACCCCTCTGACACCCCCTCATGACCCCCCTAGGGGTCCCGACCCCCATGTTGATAAACACTGCACTAGACTATAGAAAGTTGCCTCACATTAAGTCATTGGTCCATCCATCCCAGTGTTGTTGACTTGCGGACAGCAGCCCAAGCAGAGTATTATTTTTTTCTGGTTCTACATGGAATGCCTTGACATTCCTGATCGTATCCCAGGTATGTCACAGCTGAATCGAAACCAGCCCAACACTGCTCATCTTCCAAAAATCAGATAGATATGTAATCATTACGATAGTTACGCAGTGAATTTAATGTCTGTTTTACGTGTCTGTTCAGTTTAGGCTGTAGCTAAACTTCTGGTCTGAATAACAACATCTGATCTTGGTTGTCTTTTTTCCTCCAGCATGTTCTGCAGCCCTTGTGAAGGACCTTGCCCCAAAGTGTGCGCGGATGAGAAAACCATCACCATTGATTCCGTCACGTCGGCACAGTCCTTGAAAGGATGCACAGAAATCAAAGGGAACCTGCTTATCAATATCCGTCGGGGCAGTAAGTCGTAGTCCTTATCTTCATTGGGTTCTAGATTAGAGTGGTCTAGAATGGGAAGTTTGAGATAGTAGCTTTTTTCCTCCATATGAACATCACTTTTTGTCAGAGAAGGATTCTCATGCTAAGCTTGGATCTTGAAATTTCCAATCTTGGAAGTGGCAACGAAAAGGAGCCCATGTTCCTCTGCTAGGGTGGTTTTGCCAGGCTGTGTTTTGCAAAGCGCAGACGTTGGGTGGCATGTCTGTGGATTAAAGTATTTGCCCACTGGCAAAGGGGGTTTTCTTTCTTTCTTCCTTCCTGCAGTGTGTACATGATACCCTCTTTAAACGCTGGCGCCATACCGCCCAGCCTTGTTCTCCTCGGCACAATTTTGGCCTTGTTTCCTACGTGTCTTAACAGAAAACGAGTGTTGGAAGTTAATGATTTGTCAGCGTGGTGATTCATCCCCTGGGAAGAGTCCAAGTGACGCTCATCTTTTAGAAAGTGTTACTCCTTTCTCTTTCCTCCTCCTCATCCTCTGTGAAACTCTTCACTTCTCTTCAAAAGAAAACTTCAGGATGGATTTCTGCAAATATCTTGGCCTGGAGTGGAAAGGCTGATTGGGGAAGAATTTTGGACCCACCTCGACATGATGTCCATGTGCCTCTTGTCTTCTTCTCTTTTCACACCTTTTATTATGTAGAGTTTTTCATGGTGCTGTTAGTCATCTTTGAAGTTTGCTCATCTTTCGTCTTCATCCGAAGCTGGTGGAACACGATGTTCGAGCGCTGGGTTAAAAAGCTGGCAGTGAGTCGGAGGGGGAGGAAAGAGGCATTCCTTGGCCCGACTCACTTGACAACCCTAGAAATAACAGATTGGGCTTTTTCTCCATGCTGGGCTATAGCAAAGCTCGTGGGAAACGGAAATCTTTTTCCCCAAGGAACTGATAGTGGGGAATCCGTCCTCCGTTCAAGTCTTGCGCTGCAAACATTCCCATGAACATATTCATAGTTTGCCCACTTTGATGGTCTTTGTTGTTCAAGTGGGGCTCTGCTCACATATAAATGATTGCAGTGATTTCACTGATGGACTACGACTCCCAGGGATCAGGGTTCAAATCCCTGCTTGGCCGTGAAAATCACCCAGGAGACTCTTTGGCAAAGCAACCATTCTGCAACTCAGAGGATTCCTTTGAAGAAATCCTGCAGGGAAAAAACCATCTAAGAATACAAGATCCCTTTGCATCACAGTCATATTTTTGTATATCATGTGGTTTATTTCCAACTTATTTTTATTTTATTTTATTTTATTTACAGTATTTATATTCCATCCTTCTCACCCCACAGGGGACTCAGAACGGATCACAATGCACATATACATGGCAAACATTCAATGCCATAGACACACAATATATATAGACATACACATAGAGGCTGTTTTAACTTTCCAGCTTCATGAGGGTAATTCCGGCCACCGGGGGAGCTGTCGCTTCACCGTCCACTTGTGACACCAATGGAGTACTTCCTCATTCTTTTGCACGCTGCTGTTGATGGAGCTGATCCTCTGGGCCGGGCTCCGTCTTCTGGTGCTTGCCATTTATGCACATGTTCAGCACCGACTCCTTTGCAGCCAAAGCAGTCAAAATGGGGAGCAAAAAGCAGGAAAGGACCAGGCGAGGGGCCGCCATCTCCCTGAGTGCAAATCCAAACTCTCTCTGGTGAGTAATACAGTGGTTCCCAACCTTTTTTGACCAGGGACCACTTTGACCAAGGACCAGTCTCCACCATTAGTACCAAAAGGGTTACGAGTCAGTTTTTGGACAACTTTAGATTTGGTTTGGTTATTTGGGGTGCTGATTCAGAAAATTGCATTGGATAGACCACATCAGCTCTAGTTTCTGATACAGAACATAATGCCATCCAGTAGTTGCCACTTCTCGCCCACAGAAAACCATATTTCATAAACCTTGGAACTATAAGAGGGTTTCGTGAGACCAGTTGCTCTCGTTGCAACAGTATAGTAATGGTGAGGCCACGGACCATATTTAGTTCTTGTGGACCACTGATGGTCCACCAACCAGAAATTGGGAACCACTGTTCTAACTGATGTACCTACAGTAGGTATGGACGAACTTCAGCCCTCCTGGAGTTTTGGACTTCAACTCCTACAATGTCTAACAGTTGGTAGGCTGTTAGGAATTATGGGAGTTGGAGTCCAAATCACCCAGATGGCCCAAGTTTGTCCATGTCTGATCTACACTACAGAATTAATGCTGTTTGACACCACTTTCCTGGAAGCTGCCATTTTATGAGGTCTTTGCCTTTCCTGGCCCAAGACTACAGCTCCCAGGATTCCCTAGCATTGAGCTCTTGTAATGAAAGTAGCGTCAAACTGCATTAATTCCACAGTGTAGATGCATCATAGTGTCATCTTAGGATCACTATAAGTTGGAAACAACTTTTAAGTCACATATCCAAAAATGAATGTGTTGCAAAGGGGTCTTGTCGCACCTTTGAGATGAACTCAAGAGAAAGAAGTTGGTAGCATGCTCTTTCTAATGCCGTCTGATTCATCAGGTCCTGACTAACAAATGATGTCTTCCTTAGCCGGAGTTTTGTTGCAAGCTTCACGAGATAACACAGCTAGCCAGATACGTTTGATTCCAATGCTTCTCTTCCTCTACACCCATTCTTCATATATCTAGCTTAGTTAAGAGTTGGGGAGATCCTGGAAGCTTTTAGAGCCGTTGCTCTATTATAGTGCTGCCAATAAAGGTATTTCTTACCTGTGGGTTCCTTTTGTTCTTATGAGTCAATACTACCAATAATCTACCGTATATTCCGGGGTACTACACGACTGGGGTTGCCTTTGAAGACTGCTCGGAAGCTTCAAATGGTCCAGCGTTCGGTTAGCCAGGTTGCTAACAGGAGCGGCACTCAGGGAGCATACAACTCCTCTGTTGCACCAGCTCCACTGGCTGCCAGTTTGCCACCGGGCACAATTTAAAGTGCTGGCGTTAGCCTATAAAGCCCTAAACGGTTCTGGCCCTACTTACCTGTCCTCTATGCCGGGCGTGCGGTTGCCCCTGGGTCTCTGGGCTGCTTCCTGCGCCGCCTCCAGAAGGGTCTCCCGCGCTGCTCAGGCCACTCTCCTTCCTGGCCAGGCCTCACGAGAAGCGCCATTGTCTCGCGGGAGAAGAGGCGCTTCTCGCGAGGCTGGCCAGGAAGAAGGAGAGCGGCCTGAGCAGCGCGGGAAGCAGCCCAGGGGCCCGGGAGCCAACAAGGGAGAGGCCTGGGTTTGAGCAAGGAAGGCAGCCAGGAAGAGAGGAAGGATGGGGAGCCTGCCCGGGAGGCCGCCTTGAGCCAAGGCAGCGGAGGAGGAGGTGGCGGCGGAGGAGGGGAGCCCGTGGCCAAGGCCCTCCACACCAAGAGGCTCTACCGGTGAGGAGGAGGAGGAGAGTGAGAGACCCCCAAGGGCTGCAGTGTGCCTGGGATGGACTCCCTGAGGCATTCTGGGAGCCGTAGTTTGTAATTTTATTATTATTTTAATTTTATACCCAGCGTACTAGACGACTCCCAAAATTTTATTTATTTATTATTTATTTATTAATCAATTTTATATACCACCGCTCCCCGAAGGCTCGGAGCAGTTTACAACATACATACGTGATACATTACATTTAAAATCAAAGAAAAAATTTCAATCAGCAAGATTCAAATGCCAGCCCAAATAAATAAGTTTTACAAGCTCTACGAAAAGATAGTAAGTCTCGGAGAGCTCGTGTTTCCGCTGGCAAGGCATTCCACAGGTAAGGAGCCACCACCGTGAATGCTCTGTGCCTAGTAGACATCAGGAGAAAGGTCCTAATATTGGGAACTTCAAGGAGATTCATGCCTAAAAAGTTGTCTAGTACCCTGGAATATACAGTACTGAAGCTTGGTTGATTTGGTAGTTTTGGCCCATTGCTTGATGATGTTTGATTTCCTATGTGATAATTAGAAAGCCTTCGGAATTAGCGTACATCCAAATAATTGATTTAGAAGAGAAGGAAATCGGCCACCATATTGTGTTTCCTAAGTTTGGAAGACACCTGATTGGCCAAGATGGTTCCTGACTTTGAGCCTTATGGGCCTTTTTGCGAGTTTTGCTTGATCTTGTGAAGAATGGCTCATATCACCTGAGTCATTGGGACATTCTCTGCTCGCCTTAAAGTATACAGCTCGCCGTCATTGAGCATAATAGGAGCTGTGGTTTCCCGTGTGCTTAGATTTACAACTGCATTCAAGACTCTTGCCAAAACATTGGCTGTTGAAAGCTCAGAATTCAAGGCTGGCACAGATGGCCATCCTACTAGCTGGGAAAAAAAATTCAAGAGTGTAAATTCTAGCTGTATCTAGTTTTGAATTCCATCTGCCTACTTTTCATAGATCAATCAACCAGGCTTGATTCCTGAGCCAGGGAGAAGGACTTGTGAGTTAGTTCATTCTTCACTTCCAAGTGGACGTTTCCCACTCTTTCTTCTTCTTCTTCTAGATAATATTGCTTCCGAACTGGAGAACTTCATGGGCCTGATTGAAACCGTGACTGGCTACGTGAAGATCCGCCACTCGCATGCCCTGGTGTCTCTGTCTTTCTTGAAGAATCTACGGTACATTAATGGAGAGGACCAGCTGGAAGGGTAAGCAGTGAATCACCACCTCATAGTACTCTGCGCTGATTATCTGTCTGAACATTGTGTGTTGACCATAAATTGCATGTGTCAGACTCAAGGCTCGTGGGCCAAATGTGACCCACTGTGTCATGTTATGTGGCCCTCCAAATGCTGGACTACAACTCCCTATTCCTCACCATTAGACATCATGACTAAAGCCAATGGGAGTTGCGATACAGTAACATCTGGAAGGATGAAGTTTGTTCCATTTAGTCTGGATACTGGGGTTTGGATTTAGATACAAGGCTTGTGGAGAGGATGCCTGATGTTAAAATGTCCTTTTCACATTTCCCCAACCTCAGATCCACAAGTTCTGTTGGGTTGCAATTCCCATTATTCCCAGTCTGCAAAATTGATGGGGGTTATCGCTCCATAAGATCTGGGGACTCAGATTGGGTAAAAGTTACAGATTGTTATATATATGTTAAATATATGTTTGTGTGTGTATAAATACGTATAATAGAGGTGTGCAAGTTTTTTGTTAGTCATATCAAATTTGTTAAATTTGTACTTACAACGTGATATCCAACACACAAGCATGGCCTGCACCAAAAACTTCAGAAGCGAAACTCACCCAATCCTTTTTTGTTTGCATTTTGCATACCTCAGAAAACCTCCCAAAGTCAGTTTCATTTTTAGCACAAGGAAGCAAAGCAAAGCCAAAAAGGCTGCCTTTCCTCTTTAAATGAATGGCCTCTTGCCATTTTTTTTGTCGTGTCAGGAGCGACCTGAGAAACTGCAAGTCGCTTCTGGTGTGAGAGAATTGGCCGTCTGCAAGGACGTTGCCCAGGGGACGCCCAGATGATTTGATGTTTTATCATCCTTGTGGGAGGCTTCTTGCCATGAGGAGATGGAAGCAGCAGGGAGGTAGCAGAGTTCGCTGGGAAAGAGACTAAGAAAGCATAGAATTGTTTTGATGGAGTTTGACTGATTTTTTTAGTGCTGTTTGTGTTTAATTCTGTTTTTAATTGTATATTTGTATATTTTAAATTCTGTGCCAATGCTTTCACGTCAAGCAATTTTGAGTCCCCTTTGGGGGGGGATAAAGCAGGGTATAATAATATACTAATATATTATAATATTACAGTAATATAAAATAATAATATATTTTAAATTGTAGGCTGATTCTTTTATGTCAACCTGCTTTGAGTCCCCTTTGGGGAGATAAAGCAACATAATAATAATAATAATAATAATAATAATAATAATAATAATAATAATAATAATAAAAAAAACATGGCTGTGCTCACAAATGGAACTCTGAAAAAGGAGACGGAGGGCCTGATTCTGGCGGCCCAAGAACAAGCCATTAGAACCAATGCCATCAAAGACAGAACTGAAAAGTTGAGAACAGATCCCAAATGTAGACTCTGCAAGGAAGTAGATGAAACAGTAGATCACAGCTGCTGCAAGAAGATTGTGCAGACAGACTACAAGCAGAGGCACAACACTGTTGCCCAGAGGATTCATTGGATCCTGTGCCACAAATACCGTTTGCCTGCGACAAAGAACTGGTGGGATCACAAGCCGGACAAAATTATAGACAATGAACATGCCAAACTTCTCTGGGACTTCTGGATTCAGACAGACAGAGTTTTGGAGCATAGTACTCCTGACCTCACGATCGTGTTAAAAAAACAAAGTATGGATCGTTGATGTTGCAATCCCACGTGACAGCAGGATTGCAGAGAAACAACTGGAAAAGCTGACACGATACGAGGATTTAAAAATCGAACTGCAAGGACTCTGGCACAAACCAATCAAGGTGGTCGCAGTGGTGATCGGCACACTGGGTGCAGTGCCTAAAGACCTTGGCCTGCACTTAAACACAATCAGTGCTGACAAACTTACCATCTGCCAGCTGCAGAAGGCCACCTTACTTGGATCTTCACGCATTATTTGCCAATACATCACACAGTCCTAGACACTTGGGAAGTGTCCGACGGGTGATCCAATTCAACAGCCAGCAGAGTGTCTGCTGTGGACTCATCTTGTTGTGTTAATAATAATAATAATAGCATTGCCTTTTGTTTTGTTGAGTGGAATAAAAGCATACTATATAATACAGATATCTGCTGCCAGTGGTGTAGCAGGTTAAACTGCTGAACTTGCTGACTGAAAGGTCGGTGATTCGAATCCAGGAAGTGGCGTGAGTAGTTAGCCCCAGCTTCTCCCAACCTAGCAGTTTGAAAACATGCAAATATGAGTTACCACTTCTGCAGGAAGGTAACAGTGCTCCATGCAGTCATGCCACTGGCCACATGACCTAGGAGGTGTTTACAGACAACGCCAGCTCTTCAGCTTAGAAATGGAGATGCGCACCAACCCCCAGAGTCGGACACGACTGGACTTAATGTCAGGGGGAAACCTTTACCTTTACTATACAATAATAATAGTTTTATTTCCCCTCACGACTCAAGGTGAGTTACAGCATTACTAAAACATAAACAAATCTATATAAATAAAAATGTAATGTTTGTTTGTAGGATTAACAGAACTCAAAAACCACTGGACGAATTGACACCAAATTTGGACACAAGACACCTATCAGGCCAATGTATGTCCTTCACTCACAAAAATTGATTTTGTCATTTGGGAGTTGTAGTTACTGGGATTTATAGTTCACCTACAATCAAAGAGCCTTCTGAACCCCACCAACGATGGAATTGAACCAAACTTGGCACACAGTTCTCCCATGACCAACAGAAAATACTGGAAGGGTTTGGTGGGCTGTGTCCTTTGGTTTTGGAGTTGTAGTTCACCTACATCCAGAGATCACTGTGGACTCAAAACAATGATGGATCTGGACCAAACTCTACACAAATACTCAATATGCCCAGATGTGAACACTGGTGGAGTTTGGGGAAAATAGAATCTTGACATTTGGGAGTTGCTGTTGCTGGGATTTATAGTTCACCTACAATCACAGAACATTCTGAACCCCACCAACGATGGAATTGAACCAAATTTGGCACACAGTTCTCCCATGACCAACAGAAAATACTGGAAGGGTTTGGTGGGCAGTGTCCTTTGGTTTTGGAGTTGTAATTCACCTACATCCAGAGATCACTGTGGACTCAAACAATGATGGATCTGGACCAAACTCTACACAAATACTCAATATGCCCAGATGTGAACACTGGTGGAGTTTGGGGAAAATAGAATCTTGACATTTGGGAGTTGCCGTTGCTGGGATTTATAGTTCACCTACAATCACAGAACATTCTGAACCCCACCAACGATAGAATTGGGCCAAACCTCCCACACAGAACCCCCATGTGGGCCACAGCAACGCGTGGCAGGGGACGGCTAGTGCATAATAATTTTAAAACACTCCGTAAATTACATGTTAATACCTACCTCCATAAAATACATATCAAAACACACAAAACAAAAACAAGGCTTAAAATTCACCATTTAAACTGTATTAATCTGGGTTGAGACCAAGAAGGCACTCATGGAAGGTTTTAGGCAGTCAGGCTCCGTTGGATAGTAGCCTAGGTACGCATGGGACGTTGAACAACAACAACAACAGAAGGAGCCACACAGGTTGCTACTTTCAGACAGTGGAATTGGCCTGGGAAATCACTCCTTTTCGTCCCCCTGCTCTGTCTTTTCCCATGTAACAATCCATTTCGAGCACAAGCTGTGAGAGCAGTTAATAAACAAGAATATGGAAGGAACTGTTTGAACAAGGTGGTAGCAAGGTCATGGGAAAAAGGCCCTACGTGTGTGTGATTTATCTGGGCTGAAAGGATTAGGTTGCGGCATGAGGGTTTTCGTTGCAAACCTCCCTTTTTTCTCAGTCAGCTTTACATTCTTGGGATGCCACTCAGGGATGGGACAAGCGGTGCAAAGGGCATTCGGGCCTCTCCGCATTTTGGAAGAGCTCCATCACCCCTTTCAAGAAGGCACCTCCAACACAATGCCGTCTGCAACTTGGATCCCAAATCACCTGAAGGAGGAAAGGTTTCCTCATCTCTGCCTTGCAGGATTGTCTTCTCATTGGAAGGACATATCCGTTTTTAATACCAGATACAGGTTGGATCTGGCCGGAGTGGTCCATGCCTTGGTCACCTCCAGATTGGACTATTGCAATGCGCTCTACGTGGGGCTGCCCTTGAAGACGGCTCGGAAGCTCCAACTGGTCCAACGATCAGCAGCCAGGATGCTAACTGGGGCCCCTTACAGAGAGAGGTCAACCCTCCTGTTCAATGAGCTCAGTTGGCTGCCGTTTATATTCCGAGCCCAATTCAAGGTGCAGGTGCTTACCTACAAAGCCCTGAACGGTTTGGGACCAGCCTACCTGCGTGACCGCATTTCCATCTACGAACCCACACGTTCACTTCGGTCATCTGGAGAGGCCCTGCTCGTGATCCCACCGGCGTCGCAAGCGCGCTTGGTGGGGACGCGGGACAGGGCCTTTTCCGTGGTGGCCCCCCGACTCTGGAACACCCTCCCCAAAGACCTTAGACAGGCCCCTACATTGGCTGTCTTCAGAAAGAACTTGAAGACCTGGCTTTTCCGATGCGCCTTCCCAGATTAGGAAATCTCCTCTACCAAGTCCCATAAGCACTTTATCAGAACCAATGATTGCTGCACATCGCACATCGCACTTGCCCTAGAAGCCCTATATACACCTCCTGTCACATCAGCACTTTCAATCTTTGTACTCATTCTTTGGCCCGGCCCAGTTTTATTGTGTTTTAGTGTATTGTGCCTGTTGTTTATTTTGCTTTATTCTGTTTTGAATTGTTTGATTTGCTTAGATTGTATTGTTGTGTTGTGTGTTGAGGCCTCGGCCTGTGTAAGCTGCATCGAATCCTTCGGGAGATGCTAGCGGGGTACAAATAAAGTTTAATAATAATAATAATAATAATAATAATAATAATAATAATAATCCCTTTGCCTGGAGCTTTCCAAACGGTGTGTCAGGATGCGGCATTCTAGGTGTGTTGTTGTCCAAGCAACACAAACCTTGGGCTGATGGAAAGAACTTAAAAAGTGGGAAGTTAAAAAATAGTTTGAATATTGAGCAGATTCCATGCTCCAGGATAACATCCTTGAAAGGAGAACAAAATATATATCAGGCCGAATCAAGAAGAAGCGGGATCCGAAATGGGGAAGACTGATACATAGAGTAGGAAGAAAAGGAAACTACAAGAAACTGAACCATATTCTCTCCACGAGTGATGAACTAAAATAATATTTGAATGAAGGTTATTAAATCTGATATTATTCTACCTGTGTTTACAATTTGAAAAAATTAAATAACAACAACAACACTTTATTTTTTTTCTTTGTGGACTCTGTGAATGCACAGATATGGAGTATCTGCACCTGGGCAGGCTCCAACGGAAAACTTCCAAAGATCAAATCCAAGGTTTTCGCCTTAAAGGATTGACTTTTATGCCCTGCCCAGTCCCCTCAGCAGGGCATAAAAGGCGCCCCGTGCGCACGCTCCGCAGTTCCTGTTCTAAATTCTAATGTAAATATCTAATATGCAGGATTGTATTTTCATTTTTACAAATTAAACATAATTAAAGCATAGTGATTGATCACAAAAACAATATGTATGGACAACTGATGATGGTATTTGCAGTACGTTCAACCAATTCAGCTCTGACTTCCACAGATACCCCACGAATTACATACCTGGACGAAACTTGGCATACAGAACTCCAATGACCAACAGAAAATACTGGAGGTCGGAAGGAATTGACAGTGATTTATGGAAGATGTAGTTCACCTACATCTAGAAGCACTGTGAACCAAAACGACTATGGACCTGGAGCAAACTTGGCAGGAATACTCAATATGCCCAAATTTGAACACTGGTGGAGTTTGGGGGGAAAGGGATCTTTACATTTGGGAATTGCAGTTGTTGGGATTTATAGTTCCTCTGGCATCAAAGAGAATTCCAAACTCCAACAATAATGGAATTGACTTGGGGAAAATAGACCTTGGCATTTGGGAGTTGCTGGGATGTATAGTTCTCCTTCCATCAAAAATCATTCTGAACTCCTGCAACTATGAAATTGTATCAAACTTGGTATAGAGAACTCCCATGAATAACAGAAAATACTGGAGAGGCTTGGGGAAAATAGACCTTGGCATTTGGGAGTTGCTGGGATGTATAGTTCCACTGCCATCAAAGAGCATTCTGAACTCCTGCAACCATGGAATTGAATCAAACTTGGCATACAGAACTCCCATGACTAATAGAAAATATGGGAGAGGCTTGGGGAAAATATACTTTGACATCTGAGTGTTGCTGTTCATTTTGGAGGGGTCCAGGCTCTGATCCGTTGGCTGCATGGCCTGGCCTCCTCGGAAGCCTCTCACCTGGCTCCTGCCTCCTGCAGTCTGGCAGGCAGTGGGAGCCAGGCAATGGAGGCTGCGATGCATGGCCTAGCCTCACGAGGAGCCTCTCGCCTGGCTCCCACCTCCTGTGACCCTACAGGAAGTGAGAGCCAGGTGATCAAGGCTGCACCATGCAGACTAGCCTTGCAGAGAGCCACCTACTGCGGCCTGGCAAAAGCGGGAACTAGGTGGCGCGGCCTAGCATGGAGCTTCTCGCCGGGCGTCATGCAATTTTGAGGAAGCAAAGGGGGCGGTGCCAATGGACGACACCAAATTGGGAGGGATAGCCAGTACTCCAGAGGACAGGAGCAGGATTCAAAACGATCTTGACAGATTAGAGAGATGGGCCAAAACTAACAAAATGAAGTTCAACAGGGACAAATGCAAGATACTCCACTTAGGCAGGAAAAACGAAATGCAAAGATACAAAATGGGGGACGCCTGGCTCGAGAGCAGTACGTGTGAAAAAGATCTTGGAGTCCTCGTGGACAACAAGTTAAACATGAGCCAACAATGTGATGTGGCGGCAAAAAAAGCCAATGGGATTTTGGCCTGCATCAATAGGAGCATAGTGTCTAGATCCAGGGAAGTCATGATACCCCTCTATTCTGCTTTGGTTAGACCACACCTGGAATATTGTGTCCAATTCTGGGCACCACAATTCAAGAGAGATATTGACAAGCTGGAATGTGTCCAGAGGAGGGCAACTAAAATGATCAAGGGTCTGGAGAACAAGCCCTATGAGGAGCGGCTTAAGGAGCTGGGCACGTTTAGCCTGAAGAAGAGAAGGCTGAGAGGGGATATGATAGCCATGTATAAATATGTGAGAGGAAGCCACAGAGAGGAGGGAGCAAGCTTGTTTTCTGCTTCCCTGGAGACTAGGACGCAAGGGAACAATGGCTTCAAACTACAAGAGAGGAGATTCCATCTGAACATGAGGAAGAACTTCCTGACTGTGAGAGCCGTTCAGCAGTGGAACTCTCTGCCCTGGAGTGTGGTGGAGGCTCCTTCTTTGGAAGCTTTTAAACAGAGGCTGGATGGCCATCTGTCAGGGGTGATTTGAATGCAATATTCCTGCTTCTTGGCAGGGGGTTGGACTGGATGGCCCATGAGGTCTCTTCCAACTATTTGATTCTATGATTCTATGAAATGGCCAATCGACCCCTCTGGGGGTCGCGACCCCCAAGTTGAGAACCGCTGCTCTAAGGAATTATTGCCTCACATGCTGCATATTATAAAGTCAACTCCTCCTCACATTTAAGTGAGGACTGCCAGGTTTGTATCTTTTTGTTGTGATGTGAAATTTGCCTTACTTTTTGCAAAGATGTCGTACCCGTGCGTTTATTGTCCTGAACTGATATCTTTGTGAACATCTCTTTTTTAGGAATTACTCCTTTTACGTCCTGGACAACCAGAACCTGCAGCAGCTGTGGGACTGGAGCCACCATAACTTGACTGTCAAGGAGGGGAAGATGTACTTTGCCTTCAACCCCAGGCTCTGCGTTTCTGAGATTTACCGCATGGAGGAGGTGACGGGAACCAAAGATCGGCAAAATAAAGGCGACATCAATCCGAGGAACAACGGGGACCGGGCCTCCTGTACGTAAGGCGTTGAGCAGTAGAAGCTTGAGATAAAGATATGCCTAGTCTAGTCTTCCTTCCTGAGATTAATCTTGTGCCAGAATATTGACGACGTTGAAGAAATGCACGCAGATGTCGGCTTTTTGAAGCTTTTTGCATTTGTTGGTTTGGTCTAGTGCACAACAAAGTAGAGCAATATTTTTTATAAGACAGGTGGGAATGTTCTGACTGAGAAATAACACGTTTGTCTTTTGGTGACTAAGGAATCAATGGCATATTTTGGAGGCATGGTGCACCTACGTTGTAGAAACCACTTTTAACTGCTATGGAATCATAGGTGTTGTACAGTAGAGTCTCGCTTATCTGACATAAACAAAAATGTCGGATAATACAGAATGTCCTACTGTTACGTGTCCCGAGATGACGCTAGACACCTAGAATACTAACAGGGACTCAAAGATTTAAGGCAAGGCAATACCTCGGGGCTAGAGCGGCCCAGTAGGAAGTGCCCGGATGCGGAAGAGGAGCGTGGAAATCCCAGAGGGAAGGAAGGAGGATGCTTCCACTTCCGGTCCTGCCTCTTTTCCCCCTTTCCTCCCTCCTCCTCTTCCTCCTCCTTGTCTTGCCTTTTTCACTTATTGGGAATAGTGAGAGGGTTGGGGAAATGCACTCCTTTAATTGAAGGGGAAATGTTGAGGAAAAGGGGGTACTCTTATGAGTGTCGGATAAGATAGAATGTCGGATAAGCAAAGGTCGGATAAGCGAGACTCTACTGTAAGTTTTTCGGACTGTATGGTCATGGTCCAGAAGCATTTTCTCCTGACATTTTACCTGCATCTATAGTACGCATCCTCAGAGGTTGTGAGGTCATAGATGAAGGCGAAACGTCAGGAGGGAATGCTTCTGGAACATGGCCATACAGCCCAAAAAACTTACAAAAACCTAGTGATTCCAGCCATGAAAACCTTCCACAATACTCTACTGTAATTTTGCAAAACCTTCTCTTCCAAAGAGGTTTGAGATTTGTAGTCTGGTGCCTCTCTAAACTACAAATCCCATGATTCCATTGTATCGAGTCAGGGCTCTGAAAGTGGAGTCAAACTGCATTCGCTTTGCAGTGTAAATTGCACCCAGTGTTCTCAAAAAGGAAAGTTGACATCACTGCATTGAGGGTCTGGTTTCCCCATTTTTTTGGAATCGTGGCAAATCCGGCTTCTAAACCAGCAGTGAAGCAACTAAAAGATGGCCTGCTCCAGGCATTTTGAAACCATTCCTCCCTCTTCCAAAGGGTTGTTTACTGAACGGTGGCCTTTTCAGCCCAAACACAGATGTCACTGGGACCAAGTGTAAAGAAATCCCTGTTGTTGCCATTGAGTAAATCTGGGGATTGCATTCTCCGGAGGCGTTGGAGAGGCCTGGGCCATTCATGCCGCCAGCGCTGCCAACTCCCTTGCCAGGCTTCTTGTTTTTCTTTCAAGCTCTTTTGCCTCTGAAAAAAGGAGGGAAACGGGGGTCTCTTGCTCTCGACTTGCCTTCCCTGTAAAACAGAGACTCCTCAAGTAAAACTAAAAGGGGCTTTGAAGTGCTGGCGTTGTGCAGGCCAAGCTACAAAGAGCGGGGGGAAACACGAGCGATTTGTAGCCTCTTTGTGGGAAAACAAAACGGGACGGCAGCAAGAAAACCCCTTCCCCGCCTGACATTCTGCATGCTGGATTTCCAATCCAAGATTTGGAGTCTCTTAAGAAACGAAAACAAAACCAAGCAAACAACAACAGCCCCATGTGTTTGTTCTGAATGGGGTGGCTTTTGAAGATTGGGGAATGGGGGCCCATTGATCCTTGGCTGTTGATCCAACCAGATTGTGTCCCCTTGGCATGGATTAGCTAGAGCCTTTTGGTAGGGTGCAGGTTGTGTTGACGTTTGGAGCCGATTCACACATGTCTGTTTTTACTCTTTGTGGATGTAAGGGGGAAATGCACGATGGTGTCATGTCATGTACTATTGGTTTGCTCCATCTTCTTTTGAGCTGAAGACACCTTCTTCAAGAGAAGGCCCACAGAGGTAGTCACTGTCACAAGGAGAGAACCTGGTTCTGCCAAGAAATAGGATGGTTCTTCTGACTCCTTCGTGTGACGATTCCCAATCTCTGGTCTTCCAGGAGTTTGGGGTTTCAGCTCCCAGAATCCCTGATCACCAGCCAAGGCAGCTTAAGCTTCTAGAGGGCTACAAGTTGGGATTGTTGGTATAGAACATTTGGAAGTGTAGGGGGGTGGGTCAGTAGTCTAGAACAGTGGTTCTCAACCTGGGGTCCCCAGATGTTTTTGGCCTATAATTCCTAGAAAACCCAGTCAGTTTACCAGCTGTTAGGATTTTTGGGAGTTGAAGGCCAAAAACAACTGGGGACCCCAGGCTGAGAACCACTGGTCTAGAAGAACATCTAGTAGGTAGTGAGTGGGTCGCTGGTCTAAAAGAACATGTGGAGGGCTAAACATTGGAGTTGTTGATATAGAAGAACACCTGGAGATTTAGTGGTTGGGGTTGCCTGCCTAGAAGAACATCTGGAGGGCTAGAGGCCAGGATTGTTGGTACAGAAGAACATCTGGAGGTCGCCTGTCTAGAAGAACATCTGGAAGGTGGAGGCTGGGCTAGCGGTCTAGAAGAACATCTGGAGGGCTAAAGGTTAGGGTTGTTGGTATAGCAGAACATCTGGAGGTCTGGTGGCTGGGGTTGCCTGTCTAGAAGAACATCTGGAGGGCTAGAGGTCAGGGTTGTTAGTATAGAAGAGCACCTGGAAGGTAGAGGCTGAGCCGCCAGTCTAAAAGGACATCTAGAGGAATAAATGTTGGGGGTCAGCGGTCTAGAAGAATATCTGGAGAGCTAAAGGTTGGGATTGTTGGTATAGCGGACCATCTGGAGGTCTAGTAGCTGGGGTTGCCTGTCTAGAAGAACATCTGGAGGGCTAGAGGTCAGGGTTGTTGGTACAGAAGAACACTTAAAGGTCACTTGTCTAGAAGAATATCTGGAAGGTAGAGGCTGGGCTGCCAATCTAGAAGAACATCTAGAGGAATAAATGTTGGGGCCAGCGGTCTAGAAGAACACCTGGAGGGCTAAAGGTTGGGGTTGTTGGTATAGCAGGACACCTGGAGGTCTAGTGGCTGGGGTTGCCTGTCTAGAAGAACATCTGGAGGGCTAGAAGTCTGGATTGTTGGTACAGAAGAATATCTGGAAGGTAGAGGCTGAGCCGCCAGTCTAAAAGAACATCTAAAGGAATAAATGTTGGGGGTCAGTGGTCTAGAAGAATATCTGGGGGCTGAATGCTAGGGCCAAAGTTTGTCCATGCCTAGTATATGCACACATTCATATTTTTGTATAGTTAACAAAGTTAAAACACTTTGTTAGACTTGTGTCTGTCTAGAGAAAAAAAATAAGTGTCTTATCAAATTCCAGTACAATATGGTTCTGTATGTATGGAACCAGTATCTGCAGATTCATTTATCCACATCTGGCAAAAGATGTCTTCCCAAGGCATTTTTGTGGTCCTCTAGTGCATCTTTATGCAATTATTGAGCCAGAAGTCCTTCATTTAAATAGGGTTTTGTATTATCCATGTTGGTTCATATTCATGTGAAGTCTGGGAATATATCCTCCAAGGGGTGGTAATGGTTTGTACGACATTCTCTAGAACATGGCAACAGCCAGTAAACGCATAACTGTGTAGTATGCGTTTGTGTTCCAGAATTGTGTTCCAGAAACACAATTATGTTTAAACCAGGACTGAATGTGCTTGTGTGTTTGTGGCGCTTTGGGTAACGTATTGCTCCGTTTTGCAGGCGAAAGCCACATTCTAAAATTTGTTTCCAACACTACAATGAAGAATCGGATCAAGCTCACCTGGGAACAGTATCGCCCTAAGGACTATAGAGATCTGATCAGCTTCACTGTGTATTACAAAGAAGCGTGAGTATTGACACCCGGGTGTGAATGCACTGAGGTTATAGGCAAGATGGCAGGGGATGAGGGGAAGAAGCTACACATGAGCTGGGAGAGGGAAAAATAAGTGGGTGTCTAACCAGGTATGCTCCTAAATAGTGGAATTCAAGGTTCAGATCCTTTTCCACCTTAGCCTGGCTTAATACTGAGTTATTACTAAGTTGGAATACGTACATAACGAGGATCTGATCCCTAATTTCAGTGTCATAAATTAATAAAAGTAATGCAAAAAGGACAGATAGAATGCTACTATTACTGATTTAGCTAAGCCCCCTTCTACACTGCCATTGATAATCTGGATTGTATGGCAGTGTAGACTCATATAATCTAGTTCAAAGCAGATCATGTGGATTGCCTGCTTTGATAATCTGGATTATATGGCAATATAGACTCATTTAAACAGTTCAAAGAACATAATGTGGATTGCCTGCTTTGATAATTTGTATTATATGACGGTGTAGACTCATATAATCCAGTTCAAAGCACATTATGTGGATTATCTACTTTGATAATATGATAATCTGTGTTAGGGGACACTACCCTGAAATTATTAAAGCATCCAAAAATCAAACATGATACTAAAAGTTGAGCATTCAGCTCACAGCTAGCAAAGCATGAAGTGCCGTGTGGTGTGACTGTAAAGAATTAAGATCTTAGGAGGCAAATGTGCAGAGTCCTGTCTTTAAAAATTACAAAAGGTTTATTTATTTATTTACTTACAGTATTTATATTTCACCCTTCTCACCCTGCCGGGACTCAGGGTGGATTACAATGTACATATACATGGCAAACATTCAGTGCCATAGACACACGACATATATAGACAGACACAGAGGCAATTTAACATTCCAACTTTTCATGAGGGTATTCTGGCCACCAGGGGAGCTGTTGCTTCACCGACCATTTGTGACACTGATGAAGTACTTCCTCATTCTTTGCAGGCTTGCTGGAGATTTCTATGGCATTGTAAATTAGTTACATTAGCCTCCCCGCGTAGGCGGTACTTAAATTTCCTACTTGACAGATGCAGCTGTCTTTCGGGCTGCAAAGGTCGACAGCAAGCTACACAAATTGGTCAGACACTCACTCCGACCCGGGCTGGCTTCAAACTCATGACCTTTCGGTCTGTAGTGATCTTAATGCAGCTGAAAAAATGCATTCCTTAATAATCAAGAACTGGGTCTGAGTTACTCAAACACCCATCTCTTCTAAGGTTTCAAGAGGGGAAAAGTCACTATATCTCTCCTGACACACAAGCAGAGAGAGATCTCAAAGCACACAGCACATGCTCTCCATACAAAGAGTGTAAGAAGGCAGAAGTCAAATTCAAAAAACTTGCAGTAAAAAGGTATCAGTTTTAAACAACCAATCAGAATGAGATCAGAAACAGAGAAGAGAGAAGAAAAAGGTGCATTCCCAACTGTCATACGGGAGACATCGGGGAAGGGAAACCCTTAGAATATACTAAACTAACTGGACTATAAATAAAGTGTTGTTGTTATTGTTTGGGGAGATTAAGCGGGGTAAAAATACATATAATAATAATAATAATAATAATAATAATAATAATAATAATAATAATAATAATAATAGCCAAAAAGAGAATGGGAAGAACCCATTTTTATTCTTTCGAAGTGTTAATATCACGGGTTTCGTTTTTCGGAAGCCTGTAGGAGGGTTTTCTTCAAAGGAAAAGTGACAACCGTCTCTTGATTTGCCCCTTCCAGGCCCTTTCAGAACGTGACGGAATACGATGGGCAGGACGCCTGCGGCTCAAACAGCTGGAACATGGTGGACGTGGACCTGCCTCCCAACAAAGAGGACAATCCGGGGATTTTGCTGCAGGCGCTGAAGCCGTGGACTCAGTACGCCATTTATGTCAAAGCTGTCACGCTAACTATGATGGAGAACAACCACGTCCACGGAGCAAAGAGCGAGATCGTCTACATCCGAACTAAAGCTGCCGGTAAGGCAGATGATCTGTTGCGATGTATCGTGGGGTGCGTCTATACCATATATGGGCCATTTTGGGCCCTCCCGGTGTTTTGGGCTTCAACTCCCACAATTCCTAACAGCCTACCGGCTGTTAGGAATTGTAGGAATTGAAGTCCAAAACACCTGGAGGGCCCGAGATGGCCCATGTATGGTCTACACTGTGGAATTGATGCAGTTTGATACCACTTGAGTTTCTCTGCCCTCTCTCCCAAATGGAAATGACTTGTTACTCTAGATGTGTTGGCTTTGAAGTGTTGTTCCTGCCTCCCAATAAAGCACTGCAAGCACTAAAACTTTGGACTCAGTACACCATTTACGTCAAAGCCATTATGCTGACCATGATGACCATGATGGAGAACAAACTGACCAAGTGGTCGCATTCAGAAGCATCAAGCTGGTTGAAAGATCTGGATCCAACAGTGGGGATTCTGGCCTACACCAGCGTTTCTCAACTTGGGGGTCAGGATGGGATGTCAGCGACTACAACTCCCAAATGCCACGGTCTATTTCCCCCAAAGTCCACTAGTGTTCACATCTGGGCATATTGAGTATTCGTGCCAATCCATCATTGTTTGAGTCCACAGTGCTCTCTTGGTCCAGATCCATCATTGTTTGAGTCCACAGTGCTCTCTGGATGAAGGTGAACTACAACTCCAAAACTCAAGGTCAATGCCCACCAAATCCTTCCAGTATTTTCTGTTGGGTCACTATAGTTCTGTGTGCCAAGTTTGGTTCAGTTCCATCATTGGTGGAATTCAGAGTGCTCTTTGATTGTATAAATCCCATCATACACAACTCCCAAATGACAAAATCAGTCATCCCCATCCTAACTCCACCAATATTCAAATGTGGGTGTATTGGGTATTTGTGCCAAATTTGGTAATACATCCTGCATATCAGATATTGACATTACAATTCATAACAGTAGCAAAATTATGAAGTACATAGCAACGAAAATAATGTTATGGTTGGGGGTCACCACAACATGAGGAACTTTATGAAGGGGTCGCAGCATTCAGAAGGTTGAGAACCACTGGTCTACACCAACCTTGGGGTGGGAGTGGTGCAGAAGTTGACCAACAAGGACACATCCCAGTTGCACCACACATGTAATATTCCAGTGGCACCTGGTTCCAAGTTGTTGTTCCTTCTTGCCAACCTTTTACTCTTCTGAACTTTTGAGCTTTATAGCACGTCAGGGATTTATTTCAGGTTGATTTAATAGTGTGCCGCTACGCCAAGACATAATTGCATCCGATAGGGACGTATATACAAAGCTGATAATTGTCCAATTTATTAAACTCAGTGAAAATACCCAACTGCACATAATCATCTTGAACAAAATCTCTCTAATTGGGAGTGGGGATGGTATCAGATCCAGCGACGGGGTTACGGGTGTCCTTTCGTCCGCCCCGAGAGTGGATTGATCCCAGTGTGCTTCAGAGAAGCTTGTGTGACATCGACAAGCATGTCGTATCAGAGGCAGAAGCACAAGTCACGTTTGTACTGATGTTTCAAATAACACACGAGATGGCGTAGGGCTTTAAATAGATCCTTACTCACAGCTGGTGGCCACGATAGCGCAGATTTGCACAGTCAAGGCACAGCATGTGGTGGCATTTTGTGTGTTAAGCGTGGAGTGGGCATAACCAAGATCAAAATAACCATGGCTTGACCTATCTGTTTCTTAGAGTATTGCTAATTACTGTTGAATCCAATTCATTCTTGGAGCGGGCCTCAATGGACACAGGACTTCGGACAACACGGCAGTTTCTGCTCCTGCTTTGTTTGCCGCCATTCAGCCATAGGCACCCTTTGCTCATCCATTGCAGAGGAATTTGGAGCTGTTCTTCTGGGGGGGTTCTCTTGGGCTACATCTACACCATAGAACTAACACAGTTTGACACCACTTTAATTGCCACAGTGTTGTTACTTATTTATTTACTTACTTACTTACTTACTTAGGCGATCCCTCGTTGGCCGAGTAGGATAGTCTTCCAGGATCAGTGTTCTGGTGTGTCCGTAGGTGACTGTGGAGCCCTATTCTTGATCTGCATCGTCTCTCACAGTGAGGGCATTGGTTTCCAGGTGGAAGGCGGTCTCGGCTTGACGCGCCTTCCTCTTGACACGTTTCTCTCTTTCGCCCTCCACTCGTGCCTCTTCAAATTCTCCAGCACTGCTGGTCACAGCTGACCTCCAGCTGGAGCGCTCAAGGGCCAGGGCTTCCCAGTTCTCAGAGTTTTTAAGGTTGGCTTTGAGCCCTTCTTTAAATCTCTTTTCCTGTCCTCCAGCATTCCATTTTCCGTTCTTGAGTTCGGAATAGAGCAACTGCTTTGGGAGACGGTGGTTGGGCATCCGGACAACATGGCCAGTCCAGTGGAGTTGATGGCGGAGGACCATTGCTTTAGTTCTGGTGGTCTTTGCTTCTTCCAGCACGCTGACGTTAGTCCACCTGTCTTCCCAAGAGATTTGCAGGATTTTCCAGAGGCAGCGCTGATGAAATCGTTCCAGGAGTGGCATGTGACGTCTGTAGACCATGTTTCACAGGCATATAGAAGGGTTGGGAGGACAATAGCTTTATAAACAAGCATCTTGGTATCCCTACACATGTCCCGGTCCTCAAACACTCTCTTCTTCATTTGGAAAAATGCTGCACTTGCAGAGCTCAGGCGGTGTTGTATTTTGGTGTCAATGTTGACTTTTGTGGAGAGGTGGCTGCCAAGGTAGCGGAAATGGTCAACATTTTCTAATGTTACACCATTGAGCTGTATCTCTGGCATTGGAGAGAGGTTGGCTGGTGACTGCTGGAACAGCACTTTGGTTTTCTTTGATGTTCAATGACAGGCCGAGCTTCTCGTATTCTTCTCATATGTGAAGGTGTTTAGAGTGGCTTTTAGATCTTCTGAATGCGCACAGATGACATTGTCATCAGCATACTGGACAGATGTTGTTGTAACCTTGGTTTTGGCTTTCAGTCTGCTGAGGTTAAACTTGCCATCTGTCCGATAGATGATTTCCACAGTGCTGTAGAATCATGGGAATAGTTGTAGTTTTGCAAGGTCTTTAGCCTTCTATACCAAAGAGTCCTGGTGCCTCACTAAACAACAATTCCATAGCATTGAGGCATGGCAGCTAAAGTGCTGTCGAATTGCATTAATTCTGAATTATAGAGGCATTATAGATGCTTTCTTTTTGTGGAGTACTGATTTACTTGGTCTCTATTTCCCGCCCATGTTTTCCCCAAGATGATCTGAGAAGGGTATGCACCAAGATAGAACACAAAGTGAAGACTCTCGTGCGGTTACAAATTTTGCCATTTGAGGGATAAACTGAGTCTCACAGAAGCTTCTCACCCTTCACTCGTCATGCATCTCATTCAGGAGTTAGGCTTCCAAGCTTTCCGAAAGTGTGATTTCCACTCCTCTGCCCTTAATGCAGTGTGTTACTGCTGACAAACTTGAACTTCTGACCTTTCCCAATGTTGTGTTGCTTTAGAGCTGGGGATTTTCGATTGGCCAGATCCTGGCTACTCTTGGTCATTGACCATACTTGAGGGTGTTGATGAAGGCATCGCATATTGCACCTCTTATGCTTAGAGAGTGTTGTATTTGTTGTGTATCGTACCATTAAGGTACACCTGAGAGAACATTGGTCTAGGAATGTCTAGGTCTTACAGCATGACTCTCTGGATGACTACCACTGGAAGCCAACCTTTGAATCTGACCATTGAGTCATGCTGGAGGACTTTAAAATGTTCTCCTACTGAAGGACCTCAAATATTATTGTCGCGGAGGACCCCATATGTTGTCATGGTAGAGGACTTAAAATATTATCTATCTGGAGAACCTAGGGAACACTGAATCATACCGGAGAACCTCAAATTGTGGAGGACCCCAGATGTTATCATATTAAAGGACTTAAAATATATCTGGAGGACTTAGGGACCATTTAATCATATTGGAGGACCTCAAATATCATTGTGGAGAACCCCAGATGTTCTCATATTAGAGGACTTAAAATATATCTGGAGGATTTAGGAACCATTTAATCATACTGGAGGACCTCAAATATCATCATGGAGGACCCCAGATGTTCTCATATTAGAGGACTTAAAATATATCTACAGGACTTTGAGACCATTGAATCATACTGGAGGACCTCAAATATTATCATTGTGGAGGAACCCAGATGTGGAGGAACCCATATTAGAAGAGTTAATATTTTCTCTATCTGGAGGACCTAGAAATCATTGATTCATACTGGAGGACCTCAAATATTATCATTGTGAAGGACCCCAGATGTTCTCATATTAGAGGACTTAAAATATATCTGGAGGACTTGGGACCATTGAATCATACTGCAGGACCCCATATGTTCCCATACAAGAGGATCTCAAATAGTCTCATACTGGAGAACCTCAAATCTCCTCCTGGAGAACCTCAAATGTTCTCTTTATAAATCTCTAGATTTTCAAGGGAAGAAATAATAATAATATATTTGTTTATTAACCATCATGAACCATAATTATTGACCATTGTGTGAGAACGTAGGACATAGAGAACACATTTTAATCAAATCCACAAATGTCAAAACCTTCAACATGGAGGGACAAGTGTATGACATAATCCACGTAGTGGAATGGCTTTCATTTTTTGTGAATTAATTTTTCAGTACATTGTGTCCTTTGGTGAGAAAACCTGATGTAGTTCTCTTTATATGTGTGTGTGTATGTTTCTTTCCTTCCTAGTGCCATCCATCCCTCTGGACGTCATATCGGCATCCAACTCTTCCTCCCAGCTGATTGTGAAATGGAACCCTCCCACTTATCCCAACGGCAACCTCTCGTATTACATTGTCCGGTGGCAACAGCAGCCCCAGGACAATTACCTGTACCGGCACAGCTATTGCTCCAAAGGTGAGATGGACCACAAGGTCCTCAGGACTTACTCCGTACAATCGTAGAATGGTTTTACTGTTTCATCTTGCTCCCAGTGTATTTGTCCACCCATTTCTGGTTTTAAGTGACAGGGAACTCTTCTGGTGGTGACTTTCTTCACCTGGAGGTCCAAAGTGGTGTCATCCATTCCACTAGCCTGGTTTGACCATTGCTCATCTGGTTGAGTTTAAAGACTAGGCTTCACCTGGTACTTCGAAATAAAGAAAATCATGTTTGAATTCTTCTGGGTTTGCAAGGGACTCCAGTCTTTGGTCTCTCTTTCTAGGTTCCTGTAAAACAGTGTTTCTCAACCTGTGGGTCTCCAGATGTTTTGGCCTTCAACTCCCAGAAATACTAACCGCTGGTAAATTGGCTGGGATTTCTGGGAGTTGTAGGCCAAAACACCTGAGGACACAGGTTGAGAACCACTGCTGTAAAAGCTATTGCAGGCCATCGTATCTCTAGTCCTAAGCTGTTCCCCAGCCTTTGGTGCAGTCCAAATGACTACAAAGCAACACCACAAGGCTCAGGCCCGTAGCCAGGATTTCGTTTCGGGGGGGGGGGGCTGAATTTTTTGGGGGGGGGGGGCTGAGTTTGAGTGAAAGAGGGTCTAGCCTAGCAAACCTTTTGTATCATTACCCCAATACCCCCATGCATATGGGATATATTGAGTATGGTGATCAGATCATGATATGAATAAACATAACATTTTAAATAATGCACCAGTAAGGCCTTTTCGCGAACCACCATGAAGCCCCTCAACCCCCCCCCCCCGGCTACATGCCTGACAAGGCTGCACCCCTATGGTAGAGAACATGCTTTGTAAACCATGGGTTCTAGGCTATTGTTGACCACACGTGGGGCTGAGAAAGACCACCATCACTAGCTTTGAAGAGCACCTACCATTTCTAATCTAGATCTCACCTTTTTCCAGTGCTCCAAACTTTTCCCAGAGCTGTAACTTCCAGGATTCCTCTCTGCTGGCTACGCCAACAAAGTATGTTAGGAGTAGTAGTCTAGAAACATGTGGAAACCCACGCTTTGTCCAGCTCTTGTGTTAAAAAATGGAAGGAAGGGTATTCCTGCCTGCATCCCCTTATTTAAATCCCCGGCATGGTTGTCATTAGGGTCATTTCTGGGCCATATTCTCCGCCACTGCATGTCTCTCTCTTCCCCATTCCAGAACGAGTCCCGATTCGGAGGTATGCTGACGGCACCATCGACACCGAGGAAGCCACTGAGCCCACCAAACCCGAGGGCTCCGGGGGAGAGAAGGGGCCGTGCTGCGGCTGCCCAAAGACAGAGGCAGAGAAGCAAGCCGAGAAAGAAGAGGCCGAGTACCGAAAGGTCTTTGAGAATTTCCTTCACAACGCCATATTCCTGCCCAGGTGAGAGGGCCCTTTTCTGGCAAGCTGTTCTGTAGCCATTTGGCAGGAGTCTAAAATGGTCACCTCCCAGGTTGAAAAAACAAACAAACAATATTCGCAAACCATCTTTCATGACAATTGATTTTACATACTTTCTGTTCATTTATTATTTATCAGTTTGTTTGTTTGTTTGTTTTTATATATTCTGTTTTATTTATCTCTCCCTATGGAGACGCAAAGCGGCTCACAATCAGAAACACTGCAACTCAAAATATACAAATATCTATATAAATAAAAATGTAATGTTCGTTTGTGGGATTAACAGAACTCAAAAACCACTGGGGGAATTGACACCAAATTTGGACACAAGACACCTAACAACCCAAGGTGTGTCCTTCACTCAAAAAAATTGATTTTGTCATTTGGGAGTTGTAGTTTCTGGGATTTATATTTCACCTACAATCAAAGAGCATTCTGAACTCCACCAACGATGGAATTGAACCAAACTTGGCACACAGTTCTCCCATGACCAACAGAAAATACTGGAAGGGTTGGTGGGCAGTGTCCTTTGGTTTTGGAGTTGTAGTTCACCTACATCCAGAGATCACTGTGGACTCAAGCAATGATAGATCTGGACCAACTCTACACGAATACTCAGTATACCGAAATGTGAACACTGGCGGAGTTTGGGGAAAATAGAATCTTGACATTTGAGAGTTGTAGTTGCTGGGATGTATAGTTCACCTACAATCACAGAGCATTCTGAACCCCACCAATGATAGAATTGGCCCAAACCTCCCACACAGAACCCCCATGTGGGCCACAGCAACGCATGGCAGGGGATGGCTAGTACAATAATAAAACAGTATATAATATATTATTATATTTTATCATATTTAATATAGTATAATATATTATAATTTATATATTATCATATTTAATATATTACTATTACTATATTACAATATTATTACTATGTATTATATTATAATATTACTATCAGTATTGTATGTATATATAATATATTATTAGCATAGTCATGGGGGGTTCTGTGTGGGAAGTTTGCCCCAATTCTGTCGTTGATGGGGTTCAGAATGCTCTTTGATTGTAGGTGAACTTTAAATCCCAGTAACTACAACTCCCAAATGTCAAGGTCTATTTCCCCCAAACTCCATCTGTATTCATACCTGCTTATAATAAAGGGACTGATAATACTGGAGTAGGAGATTGAACAAGATGCCAGAAAGTCCTATATTTTAGGGGAGTGGGCTCTTCCTAAAAAGGGGGGGGGGCATGTACGTGTGCTTTATGGACATGAACCGTGCACTATGTTTACAGAAGGACACACAGCTGAGTTAATTGAAATCAATACTGCCGCTTGGCAGCTGGGTAGAATGCAGGTCTGTCAATAGCTGCTTCCCGATTGTCATCCCCTACCTATCATGAATTCCAACTGCCCCTTATTGCTCTTTTGCAAGCTTGGCAAGACTCTGCTCTGGCCTCCGCCGCCAGCGGCTCCTCCTCCTCTTCCTCTCTCCACTCCCTCTGCCTTTTTCCCCGTTCCCAAAATAGCAGCGTCCCTTTGGTTATTGCCTTCCATCAGAGAAGTTCACCCCATCTCTGCTAGGATCTTTTTGTCGCTGCCAAACCGTACTTTGCGTTGCAGTATAGATTTCTTGTTCAAGTAGATCTTTAATTTTGAGGCTGTATATGTATGGTTTTCCTGTTGCGGAGGGAGGCACTGAGCCCACTCAGCGTCTTGACCCGAGGGGGAAGCAGTAGCACGTTAGTAGCAATTCTAGCATTCCACGGATTGCCATTTGTAAATGGGTTGGGGGAACACACACAAGTGGGAATGATTTGCCAGTGCCTCTGCTTACTTCCTCTTCTTTGCTCAGCTTGTGAGCGTCATTGGTGCATTTTTCTCTTCCGTGGTCAGTGGTTGAGTCTCGCAGGTTGCAACTCGCTGAGCGGTTAAAGGGACTCGATGATCAAGGGTCTGGAGAACAAGCCCTATGAGGAGCAACTTAGAGAGCTGGGCATACTACCCCTCTATTCTGCCTTGGTCAGACCACACCTGGAATATTGTGTCCAATTCTGGGCACCACAATTGAAGAGAGATATTGACAAGCTGGAATGTGTCCAGAGGAGGGCGACTAAAATGATAAAAGGTCTGGAGAACAATCTCTATGAGGAGCAGCTTAAAGAGCTGGGCATGTTTAGCCAGGTTTCAACAGTGGCCAGGAAAGCTTTTGCACAATTAAAGTTTGTGCGCCAGTTGCAGCCCTACCTTGAGTTTCCGCACTTGGCCACAGTGGTTCACACTCTTGTTGCATCTTGAATAGACTACTGCAGTGCAGTCTACGTGGGGCTGCCTTTGAAGACTGTTCGGAAGCTTCAAGTAGCCCAACAGGTGGCAGCAAGATTTCTAACTGAGGGAGCATACTACTCCTTTGTTACTCCACTGGCTGCCAGTCTGCTACTGAGCACAATTCAAAGTACTGGCTGTGGCCTATAAAGCCCTAAATGGTTCTGGCCCAGCTTACCTGTACGAACATATCTCCCTCTATGGTCCACCTCGGAGGTTAAGATCATCCAGGGAGGCCCTGCTTTCGGTCCCACCTGCTTCACAAGTGTAGTTGGTGGGGACAAGAGACAGGGCCTTTTCAGTGGTGGCCCCTCATCTGTTGAGCTCTCACCCCAGTGAGATTAGATCAGCACCCTCCCTCCTGGCCTTCAGAAAGAAAACAAAGACATGGTTATGGAACCAAGTTTTTAGCTAGTAAAGTAACACAGGACAAGAAATAAATATAGAATATGTGTAATCAACATTTGGAATGGCCCTGGTCTATGAGTTTGGATTATGTGATAATAATGCTTTTATTAGGTGGTTTTTATTTTTATGTCTTCATATCTAATTGTTGTTTTATCTTATATTTAATTATTTTATTGACTTTAATGCCCAGTAATATATTTTGTTTAGATCTATGATTTGGTTTATATGTATATGAGGCATTGGATTTTACCATAACTTGTTGTAAACCGCTTTGAGCTCCCCCTGGGGTGAGAAAAGCAGTATATAAATACAGTAAATCATAAATAAATATATAAATACCAGCTCACCCATATCTAACCATATCTAAAAAACTAGAGCTGTGTGGTCTAGCCAATGCAATTTCCCAAATTGGTGTCCCAAATAACCTCACAATAGGCCTAAAAACCAAGATACGATGAAATTTATTTTTGTTTGACTGTGTGTAGTTTGTCTTGACCTTAAGCCAGCATTTCTCAACCTGGAAGTCGGGATCCCTGGCGGGGTCACAAGGAGGGTGGCATACGGGTCGCCAGAGACCATCAGAAAACACAGTATTTTCTGTTGGTCATGGAGGTTCTGTGTGGGAAGTTTCAGTGGTAGGGCTCAGAGTGCTTTTTGATTGTAGGTGAACTATAAATCCCAGCAACTACAACTCCCAAATGTCAAGGTCGATTTTCCCCAAACTCCACCAGTGTTCACAATTGGGCATATTGAGTATTCGTGCCGATTCGTGCCAATCCATCATTGTTTGAGTCCAGTGCTCTCTTGGTCCAGATCCATCATTGTTGGATGCCACAGTGTTCCCTGGGTTTAAGTGAACTACAACTCCAAAACTCATGGTCTGGGCCCACCAAACCCTTCCAGCGTTTTCTGTTGGACATGGGAGCTCTGTGTGCCAAGTTTGGTTCAATTCCATTGTTGGTGCAATTCATAATGCTTTCTGATTGTAGGTGAACTATAAATCCCAGCAACTACAACTCCCAAATGATAAAATCAACCCCCCCCCCCCCCCAACCCCACCAGTATTCAAATTTGGGCATATTGGGTGTTTGGGCCAAATTTGGTCCAGTGAAAGAGAATACATTCTGCACATTAGATGTTTACATTACGATTCATAACAGTAGCAAAACTACAGTAACGAAGGAGTAATGAAAATAATTTTATGGCTGGGGGGGTCATCACAACATGAAGAACTGGATTAAGGGGTTGCGGAATTAGGAAGGCTGAGAAACACTGCCCTAAGCCAAGGCATTGCTTGGACATCCTTGACCAAAGGCTTTACATCTTTTTGTCCTGAAATTGAACTTTCCTGGACTTTTGACCCAATTCAGCTTCCCCATTGTCTCCTTTCCATGTTTCTTCCCTTCTTTTATTGGCGTTGGATATCACACGAGCGTGTAACTTGACTCAGGAGTAACACCACCAAGGATTATTTTGACATGCAGTTCCGTGTCGGAATTCAGCCATCTGTCAGTCATCACATTAATATCTCTTATTACTGTTTTCTCTCAAAATACCGAGGCTGTTGGCTGCATATTTGTGTTTCTGGGACTTGGATGTGCTTTCCTTCCTTTTCAACCTATGCCAAACCCACTTTTGATGGACTTCCATCGTTTTCCTTCTCTAGGCCGGACCGGAAACGGAGGGACTTGTTCCGAATTGCAAACACAACTTTTGCCAGTAAGAACAGGACCGCAGCCGCCCCGGAGCACGTGGCCAACGTGTCCGATGCTGCCGAGGAGAGCGATATGGAGTTCCCTTTCTCCGAAAGGAAAGTGGAAGGCCGGGAGCGGACGCTCATCTCTCAGCTCTTGCCCTTCACGCTCTACCGGATCGACATCCACAGCTGCAACCACGAAGCCGCGCTCTTGGGCTGCAGCGCTTCTAACTTTGTTTTCGCAAGAACGATGCCTGCAGGTATGGACTCACAAACCTTGCTTAAAAGTAGGAGTGTTTTGAAGTGATTGTGTTATCTCTGCAATCAGAGAAGTGCATCAAATAGCTCAACAAAACACCCTTGGCAGATGGCCATCCACCTCTGTTTAAAAGCTTCCAAAGAAGGTCCCTCCAAAGGACTCCAAAACAGAGAGTTCCATATTGAACAGCTCTTCATACAGTCGGGAAGTTCTGTTGGGCGAGTGGGCTTATTATTATTAATAATAATAATAATAATAATAATAATAATAATAATAATCCTTTATTTATATCCCGCTAACATCTCCCGGAGGACTTGGTGCGGCTTACAAGAGGCCGACGCCCAACACATCAATAAAACAACGGCATAACAATTACAACAATAAATAAACTCATAAAACAAGCAATAAACATTAAAACAATAGCAATTAACATTATTTATTTATTTATTTATTTCGGTTACTTTTACCCCGCCCTTCTCACCCCCAAGGGGGGACTCAGGGCGGCTTACAAAAGAAGGCACAATTCGATGCCTATATCAATATACATCCATATATAAAAGCACTTAAACAGTTAACACATTAAAATCATCAGTACAAACAATCCAATAACACAATAGTAAACTAGTTCTAAGCTCAGCATTCAGAGTTCCGTAAATTCAATTCCGTTTCATCTATTCCTGCTCACCATCAGGTCTTTCTTTAGCTGCCAGAATGTCCAAACGCCCCACATCCAGGTCTTCAGTTTTTTCCTGAATGACAAAAGGGAGGTCGCCGATCTAATCTCCCCGGGGAGTGAGTTCCACAGGTGGGGGGCCACCACTGAGAAGGCCCTGCTCCTCGTCCCCGCCAATCTCACTTGTGACAGAGGCGGGGCCGAGAGCAGGGCCTCCCCAGACGATTCAGACTCCGAGGTGGGACGTAAAGGGAGATGCGTTCGGACAGATAGGCTGGGCCAGAACCGTGTAGGGTTTTGTAGGTCAAAACCAGCACTTTCAATTGTGCTCGGAACTGGATCGGCAGCCAGTGGAGCTGACATAACAGGGGGGTGGTATGCTCCCTGTATGACGCTCCAGTGTGTAGTCTGGCTGCCTCCCGCTGGACTAATTGAAGTTTCCGAACAGTCTTCAAAGGCAACCCCACGTAGAGTGCGTTGCAGTAATCTATCTGGGATGTAACAAGAGTGTGGACCACCGTGGCCAGATCCGAAGTTCCATTATTGAACAGCTCCATTATTGAACAGCTCTTCATACAGTCAGAAAGTTCTGTTGGGCGAGTGGGCTTATTATTATTATTAATAATAATAATAATAATAATAATAATAATAATCCTTTATTTATACCCCGCTAACATCTCCTGAAGGACTCGGTGCGGCTTACAAGAGGCCGAGGCCCAACACATCAATAAAACAACAGCATAACAAATACAACAATAAATAAAGTCATAAAACAAGCAATAAACATTAAAACAATAGCAATTAACATTAGACAATAACACCATGACACATCTAAACTAAGGCCGGGCCAAATGTAATGATTAAAATTTTAAAAAATGCTGGGCATGACAGGTGAAATGGATAGGTTTTTGGAGATAGGTGCGGTGTGCAGACAATCCTAAATCTCTAGTAAAGTGCAATTGGGACATGATACTTGGAGTTTCCTATTCTGGGAAGGCACACTGGAACAGCCACGTCTTCAAGCTCTTCCTAAAGACTGCCAATGTTGGGGCTTGTCTCATGTCCTTGGGGAAAGAGTTCCAGAGTCGGGGGCCACCACCGAGAAGGCCCTATCCCTCGTCCCCACGCCTGCGATGCAGGTGGGATCGTAAGCAGGGCCTCTCCAGATGAGCAAAGAGATCGTGTGGGTTCGTACACAGCAATGCGGTCACGTAGGTAGGCGGGTCCCAAATCGTTCAGGGCTTTGTAGGTAAGCACCTGTACCTTGAATTGGGACCGTAAAATGAATGGCAGTCAATGGAGCTCCTTAAACAGGAGGGTTTAACAAAAGATCCTCCTCATAAATGTACAGCAGAGTAACTTATTAGCAGCAGCGTGAACCAGCATCAGTAGCCCAAAGTGATAAAAAGAACAAAAAGATCTTGGAATCCTCGTGGAGATGAGCCAACAATGTCAATAGGCCGCAAAAAAAAGCCAATGGGATTTTGGCCTGCATCAATAGGAGTATAGTGTCTAGATCTAGGGAAGTAATGCTACCCCTCTATTCTGCTTTGGTTAGACCACACCTGGAATATTGTGCCCTATGAGGAGCGGCTTACAGAACTGGGAATGTTTAGCCTGAAGAAGAGAAGGCTGAGAGGAGACATGATAGCCATGTATAAATATGTGAGAGGAAGCCACAGGGAGGAGGGAGCAAGCTTGTTTTTTGCTTCCCTGGAGACTAGGACGCAGAACAATGGCTTCAAACTACAAGAAAGGAGATTCCATCTGAACATGAGGAAGAACTTCCTGACTGTGAGAGCCGTTCAGCAGTGGAACTCTCTGCCCAGGAGTGTGGGGGAGGCTCCTTTTTTTGGAAGCTTTTGTTTTTTAAAATAATTATTTTTATTTTATTTAAGTAAACATACATTTGCAAGTGTTTGTTGCATACAGTGCAATACTTTCTATCTATTAATGTTCTATAATCATTTATCTGACAATATATTTCTATTAAGGGGTCACAATCTACTGTCTAAATAATACATAAAAATGGCTTCAAACTACAAGAAAGGAGATTCTATCTGAAAATTAGGAAGAACATCCTGACTGTGAGAGCCGTTCAGCAGTGGAACTCTCTGCCCAGGAGTGTGGGGGAGGCTTCTTCTTTGGAAGCTTTTAAACAGAGGCTGGATGGCCAACTGTCGGGGGTGATTTCAATGCAATATTGCTGCTTCTTGGCAGGGGGTTGGACTGGATGGCCCATGAGGTCTCTTCCAACTCTTTGATTCTATGAGGCTGTTAGGAATTGTGGGAGTTGAAGTCCAAAACATCTGGAAGGAGGGTCAAAGTTGGACCATACCTGGTCTAGATTTTAAGTGTTTGGGATCCTGCGTATCTTTATCTCTTAACATATCACTCGGTTCCTTTGGGTTTGCTGCAGTTGTGAGATCAATAGGAAATCTGTTTTTGAGCATTGTTTGTCTCTGACTCGGGTTTTCTCTCGTTCTCTATTTATCCCTTCTTTTTCTGACTGTTTTGATTTCGTTGATAATTATTTCTAGCTGTCGCCAGAGATGCTTCAGCCCTTTGTGAGTCTGTGAGGTTCTTCAAGAAGTATTTTTTTTTTGGTTATTGTTCATTTGTTCAGTCATTTCCGACTCTTCGTGACTTCATGGACCAGTCCATGCCAGAGCTCCCTGTCGGCCGTGGCCACCCCCAGCTCCTTCAGAGTCAATCCAGTCACTTCAAGGATGCCAGCCATCCATCTTGCCCTTGGTCGGCCCCTCTTCCTTTTTCCTTCCATTTCCCCCAGCATAATTATCTTCTCCAAGCTTTCCTTTCTTCTCATGATGTGGCCAAAGGACTTCATCTTTGCCTCTACTATCCTTCCCTCCAATAAGCAGTCGGGCTTTATTTCTTGAAGTATGGACTGGTTGGATCTTCTCGCTGTCCAAGGCTCTCTCAGAACTTTCTTCCAACACCACAGTTCAAAAGCATCTATCTTCCTTCACTCAGCCTTCCTTAAGGTCCAGCTCTCACATCCGTAGGTGACTATGGGGAATACCATTGCTTTGACTGTGCGGATCTTTGTTGCCAGTGTGATGTCTCTTCATTATCTTATCGAGATTGGACATTGCTCTCCTCCCAAGAAGGAAGCGTCTCCTGATTTCCTGGCCACAGTCTGCATCTGCAGTCATCTTTGCACCTAGAAATACAAAGTCTGTCACGGCCTCCACGTTTTCTCCCTCTATTTCCCAGTTGTCAATCATTCTTGTTGCCATAATCTTGGTTTTTTTGATGTTTAACTGTAACCCAGCTTTTGCAGATAAACATCAAAAAGTATAGTGAGGGGAAATATCAACTCAATCCGATGGACATTCCTTCTGTCTGTTTTGCTTTGCCTGGACTACAATGGTATAGATCAGTCAGTGTTGATGCCTCAGGTGGAAAGAAATGTTATGTCTTGATTAAAAGTGCTCTTGGAACAGCTGAAGGAGTGGCCCAAAATAGTCCTCGGCATGCTGTTCCTGCAGTATCGGTCTTGGCCTGCTCCAAGGAGAGAACAGCTAGAGGCATTGAGAAAAAGAAGCATCAGCAGAGGATGTTGCATTATTGTCCCTGTCTCTGCCCAGCCTTTGACGTTGGAAACACGTGCCAGTGTCGGAGCTAGGATTCACCCCAACGCCATTGGCTCAGAAGGTGCTCCATATTCCCGAAATCCTCCTGATGCCAGGCACATCTTGGGAGGAGCTTCTGCCTATCTAACGCATCGTCTGGTAATGAGACAGAATCAAAGAAAAACGAAATGCAAAGATACAGAATGTGGGACGATGCCTGGCTCAAGAGCAGTACGTGTGAAAAAGATCTTGGAGTCCTTGTGGACAGCAAGTTAAACATGAGCCAACAATGTGATGTGGCGGCAAAAAAAGCCAATGGGATTTTGGCCTCCATCAATAGGAGCCTAGTGTCTAGATCTAGGGAAGTCATGCTCCCCATGCTCTATTCTGGCTTATTTAGACCTCACCTGGAATATTGTGTCCAATTCTGGGAACCACAATTGAAGAGAGATATTGACAAGCTGGAATGTGTCCAGAGGAGGGCGACTAAAATGATCAAGGGCCTGGAGAACAAGCCTATGAGGAGCGGCTTAAAGAGCTGGGCATGTTTAGCCTGAAGAAGAGAAGGCTGAGAGAGATATGATAGCCATGTATAAATATGTGAGAGGAAGCCACAGAGAGGAGGGAGCAAGCTTGTTTTCTGCTGCCCTGGAGACTAGGACACGGATCAATGGCTTCAAACTACAAGAGAGGAGATTCCATCTGAACATGAGGAAGAACTTCCTGACTGTGAGAGCCGTTCAGCAGTGGAACTCTCTGCCCCGGAGTGTGGTGGAGGCTCCTTCTTTGGAAGGCTTTAAACAGAGGCTGGATGGCCATCTGTCAGGGGTGATTTGAATGCAATATTCCTGCTTCTTGGCAGAATGGGGTTGGACTGGATGGCCCATGAGGTCTCTTCCAACTCTTATGATTCTGTGAAGGCACTGTTCTCCTGAACAGTTTTTCAGTTCCATCCTGTCCGTCTATGGGTTTCACCTCTTGTATGAATGTGTGACTTAGGAATTGGCTGTGATTATGGGGATTTAAATTCACAACGGAGCTTGAGCACATTCAGTTGTTGTTGTTGAATCGCAGCTCTCGGGTTCTTCCAACCATCATGGCTTATGGGAGCTGTATTCCCCAAAATACAGCTTTTCCTAGTGGTGGTTGATTACATCCGCTTTTGTACGTTTTTCCGCAGAGGGAGCAGATGACATTCCAGGACCAGTAACGTGGGAAGGAAAAGAAGAAAACACCATACTCCTGAAGTGGCGGGAACCCGTGAGCCCCAACGGTTTGATACTGATGTATGAAATCAAGTATAAACAAAGCGAGGTGAGGAAAGTTTGCGGGACTTTATGTTCAGTTGGGTTTCGGCTAGGTTAAGGGATTGAAATGGCTGTAGTTCAGAATTGACAGAAGTTGGCAGTGATGAGTTTTAGGAGCAAAAGTATCTGTGGCTAGAGAAGGTTCATTAGAAACTAGAGCAGTGGTTCTCAACCTGGGGGTCGGGACCCCTGGAGGGGTCACGAGGGGGTGTTAGAGAAACCATCACAGACAGTATTTTCTGTTGGTCATGGGAGTTCTGTGTGGGAGGTTTGACCCGATTCTATCGTTGGTGGGCTTCTGAATGCTCTTTGGTTGTAGGTGAACTATAAATCCCAGCAACTACAACTCCCAAATGTAAAGGTCTATTTTCCTCGCACTTCACCAGTGTTCACATTTGGGCATATTGAATATTCGTACCAAGTTTGATCCAGATCCATCATTGTTTGAATCCACAGTGCTCTCTGGGTGTAGGCAAACTACAACTCCCAAACTCAAGGTCAATGCCCACCAAACCTTTCCAGTATTTCCCGTTGGTCATGGGAGTTCTGTGTGCCAAGTTTGGTCCAATTCCATCGTTGGTAGAGTTCAGAATGCTCTTTGAATGTAGGTGAACTATATATCCCAGCAACTACAACTCCCAAATGACAAAATCAATCCTCCCATCCCAACCCCACCAGTATTCAAATTAGTGCATATTGGGTATTTGTGCCAAATTTGGTCAGGTGAATAAGAATACATCCTGCATATCAGATATTTACATAATGAATCATAACAGTAGCAAAATTACAATTATGAAGTAGCAATGAAAATAATTTAATGGCTGGGGGTCACCACAACATGAGGAACTGTATTCAGGGGTCACAGCATTAGGAAGGTTGAGAAACACTGAACTAGAGTCATTGGTTTCCATGTTAGAGTCATTGTTCTCTGCTGCCCTAATTTCCATAGATTAAGGAAGCAGAGCTCTAGAGGTCCAGGCCACAAGTTGCACCAGCCTTTTCTGAATAAACAAACATACAGACACACACCTGGAAGAGTGTGTGTGTGTGTGTATATATATATATATAAACACACAAATAATAATATGTTTATTTATATTCTGCCTTTTCTCTCCATATGGAGACCCAAAGTGGCTTACAATTATCAGCATTACAGTATAACAAATATTAAAACAGTATTAAGGTAAAGGTTTTCCTCTGACATTAAATCCAGTTGTCTCTGATTCTGGGTCTCTGGTGCTCATCGCCGAAGAACTGGTGTTGTCCGTAGACATCTCCAAGGTCATGTGGCCACTGGCATGACTGCATAGAGCACCATTACCTTCTGCTGGAGTGGTACCTATTGATCTACTCACATTTGCATGTTTTCAAACTGCTAGGTTGGCAGGAGCTGGGGCTAACAGTGGGAGCTCACTCTGCGTCCCAGATTCGAACCTGCGACCTTTCAGTCAGCAAGTTTAGCAGCTCAGTAGTTTAACCCACTGTGCTGCCAGGGGCTCCAATGATCAATTAATTATATATAAAAAATCAAGTTAAATGCATAAAAGCATACACAGAATCATAGCAGCAGCCCTTGGCATGATCTTAAAAACTTGCTTGAGTAAAAAGGTGTTATTTAAGGACTTTGCAAAATCCCTTTCAGGAGATGGTAGCAAGGTGCCAGGGAGGAATGAGGAGGCGCTGCTTTGTTTTGAGAAGAAATTGCTATTCCCACGTCTTCCGGGAGTGGAAATGCTAAAACAACTGTCGGCATTGGACTGGGAAGGATGGAAGGGATCGGCGAGAGTAGTCCCGTGAATGACATTTAATCCTTTCCCCTTCCTTCCCCGCTACTACTTTTGCAGGAGAAGGGGTTGTGTGTTTCCAGACAAGACTACAAGAAACTCGGAGGAGCCAAACTGACGAATCTGAACCCTGGGAATGTCACCGTCCGAGTCCAGGCCACATCTTTGGCAGGGAATGGGTCCTGGACAGAACCAATCTCGTTCTACGTCCAACCCAAGCGTAAGGACTCCTGCTTGCATCTACTTAGTGATCTTTTGTATGCCCATCCCCTTTCCAGTTATTGCATCTTATTTATTATGCTTATTAGCCTTTCTAGAAGTTTATACAGTCTGCTCTCCATATTCACTGGAGTTAGGAGCACAAGACCACTGTGATAATAATAATAATAATAATAATAATAATAATAATAATAATAGTTTTAAAAATGCAAATAATAATAATAACAACACTTTATTTATATTCTGCCCTTCTTCAAGAGGGGACTCAGAGCGGATTACAGTATATAAGCAGAAACACACTAACATTCAATGCCTTATGACAATGATATACAATGAGACACAAAACACACAGGCAAAGGCTTCTCCTTTCATTTCCAGCTCTGAAGTCCTCATCTCTGGCATGTTTAATAGACACCCATGAAATCATTCATTTCCCATGAATTTCCTCCACTCTTCTTCCATGTAATTTCTCTGAAATATGCAATCGATTTTTGGCTCTAATTTTTAAACAAAGACTTTTGTTGATCTCCAAAACTATAGGTGGATTCCTATGAGAACCATCCTTATCACTCAGCTCTTCACTCGATTCCTTATCTGCTGTTGCTACTTCTGACTCTCCTGACTGCCCTTGAGGCCCTGCTCTTTCTGAGCTACGTTTCTCGCAGAGAGAACCATCATTTCCCAGACTTGAGACCCCATCACGTTGTGCCACAGAAAAGCTCACAATCCTCTCTAAATTATCAGTTAATCCAGGGGTCCTCAAACTTTTTAAACAGAGGGCCAGATCACAATCCCTCAAACTGTTGAAGATCCTATGCACACTGCACGTATCTTATTTGTAGTGCAAAAGACATTTAAAAACAATAAAATAATTAAAACGAAGAACAATTTTAACAAATATAAACTTAGTAGTATTTAAATGGCAAATGTGGGCCAGCTTTTGGCTGATGAGATAAGATTGTTGTTGTGTGCTTTCAAGTCATTTCAGACTTTGGTTGACCCTCATTAATGGCCGGGTAAATGACCTTGGAGGGCCGTATCCGGCCCTCGAGCCTTAGTTTGAGGACCCCTGAGTTAAACCATCAGCCTCTAATCTACAACAGCAGTTTAGTTGTGATCTATTAGGAATAATTACTTAACGCATGTCTCTGTTTGCCTTGGTTGCTGCAGCAGCGAACTATGGGAACTTCTTGCATTTGATTATCGCTCTGCCCATTGCGGTCCTGTTGATTGTGGGAGGGCTTCTCATCATGCTGTACGTCTGTAACAAAAAGAGGTGAGTCTGAGTATGTGGAGGCAGGACGAATAGGAATCAACCACAATGCTATAAAAATTATGTGAGGTGACCCCTGTTTTTGTGTATTGTGTCCTCGACCCCCCCCCCCCCCCTTCTCTCTCTGCGTTTCCTTTCCAAGTCTTCCCTGCTGGGTCACTCCGCAAGGGAAACCGTTTCCATCGGTATGAATGTGTGTGTTCTTCGTTTTGCTACTACTACGTTTCTTTTGGATGTGAGTGTGTGTATATTAGTTGACCACTAAGTGATTACAATGTGAAGATCTGCCTGTGATCACTGATGACATGTGGGACGTGACACAAATGATTCCTAACACTTCTCTGCATATCTACCTAAGTTTTCTGTTGGTGAGGAAACCACTGGGTTGGAAAAGGTCCCATGCAGGATCCAATGGAATCCAGCTAGAGCAGGCATAGGCCAACTTGGGCCTTCCAGGTGTTTTGGACTTCAACTCCCACAATTCCTGGGTTCAGGCCCTTTCCTTTCCCCCCTCAGCTGCTTAAGCGGCTGAGGGGGAAAAGGAAGGAGCCTGAGCCCAGGAATTGTGGGAGTTGAAGTCCAAAACACCTGGAAGGTCCAAGTTGGCCAATACCTGAGCTAAAGTATCCCCACCTTACCTGTCCGAACGCATCTTCCCCTTACAAACCATCAAGGACCTTGAGATCGTCCAGGGAGGCCCTGCTCTCAGTCCCACCTTCGTCGCAAGTTTGTCTGGCGGAGACGAGAGACAGGGCCTTCTCAGTGGTGGCCCCTCGGCTATGGAATGCCCTCCCTAGAGAGATTCGATCTGCTCTTAACGTTTCAGAAGCAAGTTAAAACATGGCTATTTGAGCAAGCTTTTACAAATGCAGAGTAACGGATATAGGAAACCTGATGACTTGACAATGGAACTGGACAATGCTTGATAATATAGGAGACGCTAATGATGTTGTTTTTATTGCCTCATTGTGTTTTATGCTGTTTTAATGTTTTCATTTGTATTATGATATTATGTATACTGTTTTGTTGGAAACCGCCTTGTGTCGCCGATAGGCTGAGAAAGGCAGTATACAAATACAGTAAATAAATAAATAAGGACAAGAAGTTCCTTTGGATGTTCAAAATACTCCTCCTTTGTTTTTTTAACAGGAACAGCGACAGGCTTGGAAATGGAGTACTTTATGCCTCGGTCAACCCTGAATATTTCAGTGCTTCAGATGGTAAGTCATTGCTTCGGCTAAGAAGGCTAGTAGGGTGAGTGTAAGATTGGGAATCGCCATGTTTGGGAAACTGAATTGCCCCATTTGTGGCTATTTTGGAGAGCTGCTTCCCAACTCGCACACAGCCCCTCGGCTCAGTGTTGTGGAATCCTTTTTATTTTTTGTCGTGTCAGGAGCGACTTGGGGAACTGCAAGTCGCTTCTGGTGTGAGAGAATTGGCCGTCTGCAAGGACGTTGCCCAGGGGACGCCCAGATGATTTGATGTTTTTATCATCCTTGTGGGAGGCTTCTCTCATGTTCCCGCATGAGGAGCTGGATTTGATAGAGGGAACTCATCCGCCTCTCCCCGGATTCGAACCTGTGACCTGTTGGTCTTCAGTCCTGCCGGCACAGGGGTTTAACCCACTACGCCACCGGGGGCTCCTATGTGGAATCCTGAGAGTAGTTGTTCTATGGACTCTTTAGTTTTCTCTGCCAAAGTGCACACTAGTGCCTTACCAAACTATAAATTGTCTTGAGGGTAATAATAACAAATTTTCATAACTTGGCTTTCCAGTGTGTTTGAGCAACCTAAAAGATCACAAACCATTGAAACTCAGCTTCAAAAGCAATGGGAATAATTCCCAGATGAAATTTAGGACTTTGGACTATAATAGGGCAGGAAACTTGGTTTTTATTGAGGTGTCCTTGTGCGAAAAGTGTCTCTATAATTTTGCAGTGTACGTGCCGGACGAATGGGAAGTGCCCCGGGAGAAGATCACCATGTGCCGTGAATTGGGGCAGGGCTCCTTCGGGATGGTGTATGAAGGGATCGCAAAGGGGGTGGTCAAGGACGAGCCAGAAACCAGGGTGGCCATCAAGACGGTCAATGAGTCGGCCAGCATGCGAGAGCGGATTGAGTTTTTGAACGAAGCGTCGGTGATGAAGGAGTTCAACTGCCACCACGTTGTAAGTTGCTCTAGCTCAAAAAGGTCCAGGTCTCAAGAGTAAGGTGGAGTCGTCCTCTTCCCACCATTTTCTCTTCCTCAACCTGTGTGTTGATAATGTTTGGAAATGTCATTTTCATAGGAAAACACACACACACACACACATATATATATATATAATATCTTTTTGACATTCCAGTCCAATTCCAAAACAAAACCCCCCATTTTAGCAAAAATTCCAAAACAAAACATTTTCAAAAATTCCAAAACAAAATTCCACATCTTGGAATTGCATATTCCACATTATACAAAAATTCCAAAACAAAACATTTTCAAAAATTCCAAAACAAAATCCCACATTTTGCAAAAATTCCAAAACACCCCCCCCCCCTTTTTTTTTTTGTAAAATTTCCAAGACATTGTGCAAGGATCCCAAAAACACCAATATGACCCCAAAGTTGAGGTGGGACTATTATTTTGCTTTTTAATTTTTTTTTTTTGCAAAATTCCAAAAATAAATCCTACATTTTATTATTTATTTATTTCTTATTTATTTCTTTCAAACATTTATAACTTCCTGACTGTGAGAGCCATTCATCAGTGGAACTCTCTGTCCCAGAGTGTGGTGGAGACTCCTTCTTTGGAAGCTTTTAAACAGAGGCTGGATGGCCTTCTGTCAGGGGTACTTTGAATGCAATATTCCTGCTTCTTGGCAGGGAGTTGGACTGGATAGCCCATGAGGTCTTTTCCAATTTTATGATTCTATGTTTTTAATCCGTTTTAAGGTTTTTAACTGTCAATTTGTAATTAATACCATTGATTCTATTTTAATATTAGTATATTTTTGGATTTTACATTGTATTGAAAAGCTTTTAATGAAAGCCGCTTTGAGTCTACTTTGTGGAGAGGAAAAAGCGGGGTGTGAATAAATATAATAATAACAATATGTCTTTGACTTGTGTCAGGTGAGGCTCCTTGGTGTCGTGTCCCAAGGCCAACCCACCTTGGTCATCATGGAGCTCATGACGCGCGGAGACCTGAAGAGTTACTTGCGCTCCCTTCGGCCCGACACAGAGGTGAGTGTGCCGGTTCTTCTCATCTGCAAAGAGCATAATTTCACAGAACCACGTTAAATTGTGTCAACTCAGAGACCTAATTGTTGTGGTGGGAGAAGCTACTGGTTATTTATTTATTTTATTTAATATTTTTATTAATATTTTTATTTATTTAATATTTATTTATTTATTTAATATTTATTTAGTATTTATTTATTTATTATTTACTGGTTAGGCTTGTGTGTGGATCTCATGATTCTTGTGTGGATCTTCTATGATTCTACTGGTTATTTATTTATTTTATGTAATATTTTATTAATATTTATATTTATTTAATATTTATTTATTTATTTAATATTTATTTAGTATTTATTTATTTATTATTTACTGGTTAGGCTTGTGTGTGGATCTCATTTTTTTTAAAAAAGCAGTTTCGATGTCATTCAATGTCCGACTACACAGAGAAGCCAGAGTCCTCTGAAAGACAAGGTTTCAGATTCAATGACTGAAAGACATGAAAACAGCTTTCAAATCACGGGTCACAAAGCAAAACCCTGAATTTTTCCAAAATGGTTTTGATGCCTGGTTTTGAACGACGGCACAAATGTGTCCAAATTGATGGCGATTATGTTGAATGGTAGTTTTGCGTAGAGGACAGTTCAGGCTAGGATCTGGATCTGGAGCAACAGGCCCGGTTTACCTGTCCGAATGTATTCTCCCCTATGAACCATCAAGACAATTAAGATCTTCTGGTGGGGCCCTGCTCTAGGTCCCACCACTTTCGCAATCGCGTCTGGCGGGAACGAGAGACAGGGCATTTTCTGTGGTGGCCCCTCTGCTATGGAACTCTCTCCCGATTGAGATCAGATCTGCCCCCTCCCTCCTGTCCTTCAGGAGGCTAGTGAAATCCTGGCTGTGGAAGGAAGCATTCCCAGAGTAATGGTTGAAACCGGCTACAGAACAACGTTATCGACCACACATATGGGCTGAGTTGGACATGAATATATCTTGGCGATTTGGCTTATTTGTAATTTTAATCTTTATATTTTTTAACTCATTATATGATGTTTTTAGATTGTACTATTAGCACTGAATCCTTGCTGTAAGCCAGTCTGAGTCCCTCTACGGAGGTTGAGAAGATCGGGATATAAAAGTTTTAAATCTATATAAATAAAAATGTAATGTTCATTTGTGGGATTAACAGAACTCAAAAACCACTGGACGAATTGACACCAAATTTGGACACAAGACACCTAACAACCCAATGTATGTCCTTCACTCAAAAAATTGATTTTTTTTTCATTTGGGAGTTGTCGTTACTGGGATTTATAGTTCACCTACAATCAAGGAGCATTCTGAACCCCACCAACGTTGGAATTGAACCAAACTTGGCACACAGTTCTCCCATGACCAACAGAACATACTGGAAGGGTTTGGTGGGCACTGTCCTTTGGTTTGGGAGTTGTAGTTCACCTACATCCAGATATCACTGTGGACGCAAACAATGATGGATCTGTACCAAACTCTACACAAATACTCAATTTGCCCAAATGTGAACACTGGTGGAGTTTGGGGAAAATAGAATCTTGACATTTGGGAGTTGTAGTTGCTGGGATTTATAGTTCACCTACAATCACTGAGCATTCTGAACCCCACCAACAATAGAATTGGGCCAAATCTCCCACACAGAACCCCCATGTGGGTCACAGCAACGTGTGGCAGGTGACGGCTAGTAATAAACAAACAAACAAACAAACTTCTGCTGTTATGTGTTCATTCATAACATTTTTATGACACAGGAGGCAAAACCTTTTGACCCACCCTCTTGTATAATACACACACTCCACTTGCCTCACTGCCAACAGAACCTCTCAGGATGCTTGCCACAGATGCAGGGAAAACAACATCAGGAGAGAATGCTGCTGGAACACAGCCATACAGCCTGGAAAACTCACAGCAACTCAAGTGATTTCAGCCATGAAAGCCTTCAACAACACAGTTTTGTTGTTTATGCATGTGGCTTTGGGAGTGAATTGAGGAAGTGACTTGGCCTTTTGGAAGCTTCAAGGAGATACAGTCCACTCTTATGAGGAGCTCCAGAAGTCGAGAGAAGATGAGTTGAAGGCCAGAAGAACAGCCTTGGGTTTGCATGTGATTTGATGGATGGATGCTTGGGTCTTGGGCCTGTAGGACTGGAGAAACCCTCAACATTTGGATTACTCACTTACTTACTTAGGTGATCCCCTGTTGGCCGAGTAGGATAGTCTTCCAGGATCAGAATTCTTGTGAGTCTGTAGGTGGCTGTGGAGCCCTATTCTTGATCTGCATCTTCTTCCGCAGTGAGGGCATTGGTTTTCAGGTGGAAGGCGGTCCCAGTCGGGGTTGGCTTGACGCGCCTTCCTCTTGGCACATTTCTCTCTTTCACCCTCCATTCATGCCTCTTCAAATTCCGCAGCACTGCTGGTCACAGCTGACCTCCAGCTGGAGGGCTCAAGGGCCAGGGCTTCCCAGTTCTCAGTGTCTATGCCAGATTTTTTTAAGGTTGGCTTTGAGCCCATCTTTAAATCTCTTTTACTGCCCACCAACATTCCGTTTTCCATTCTTGAGTTCGGAGTAGAGCAACTGCTTTGGGAGACGGTGGTTGGGCATCCAGACAACGTGGTCGGTCCAGCGGAGTTGATGGTGGAGGACCATCGCTTCAATGCTGGTGGTCTTTGCTTCTTCCAGTACGCTGACGTTTGTCTGCCTGTCTTCCCAAGAGATTTGCAGGATTTTCCGGAAGCAGCACTGATGGAATCGTTCCAGGAGTTGCATGTGACGTCTGTAGACAGTCCATGTTTCGCAGGCATATAGCAGGGTTGGGAGGACAATAGCTTTATAAACAAGCACCTTGGTATCCCTACGGATGTCCCGGTCCTCAAACACTCTCTGCTTCATTTGGAAAAATGCTGCGCTCGCAGAGCTCAGGCGATGTTGTATTTCAGTGTCGGATGTTGACATTGGTGGAGAGGTGGCTGCCAAGGTAGCAGAAATGGTCCACATTTTCTAATGTTACACCATTAAGCTGTATCTCTGGCATTAGAAAGGGGTTGGCTGGTGACTGCTGGAAGAGCACTTTGATTTTCTCGATGTTCAATGACAGACTGAGCTTCTTGTATGCTTCTGTGAAGGTGTTTAGAGTTCAACATTTGGATTAGCAGAGGTAGGAAACAGAGGGTAGGCCAGCCCATTGTTCTTCATCCCATATGGACGATGGCCAACCAGCGAAGTGGCTTTTCCATCTACATCAGTGAGAATAGTCCCAAGTTGGAAAGGTTTTTTTTTATTTCTTCTAGCCAAGAGGAAAGTGGCTAACATTGTGATTGTTTCCCCGCCTCTCCTTGTCCAGAATAACCCGGCGCACACTCTTCCGGCCCTAAAGAAGATGATCCAGATGGCTGGCGAGATCGCCGATGGCATGGCCTATCTCAATGCCAACAAGTTTGTCCACAGAGACCTCGCGGCGAGGAACTGCATGGTGGCTGAGGACTTCACTGTGAAAATTGGAGGTGCGTGTTCCTGCTTTGTTTGGTCGGTGCTCCTCATGCAAAAGGCAAAGGAAGCAGGAACTTGGTGGTAAATAGTCCAAAAGGGTCTCACGCAGGTATGGGCCAACTTGAGCCCTCCAGGTGTTTTGGACTTCAACTCCTACAATTCCTAACAGCCTCGGGCCCCTTTCTTTTCCCCCTCAGCCGCTTAAGGCCCGAGACTGTTAGGAATTGTGGGAGTTGAAGTCCACAACACCTGGAGGGCTCAAGTTGGCCCATTCCTGCCTATTCCTGCCACTCCTATTAGAATTCCACTTATTCTGTGTCCATTGAGGAGTGCCGTGGAAGTACATAGCTCTGTCACAGTTCTGTGAGCGAAACACAGAAGCTTTAAATAATATATTGTGTGTGTAGAGAAACAACTTGAGAAGTGTGCAATGATGGTGGCAGGACCATGAAGAAAAAAAAAATCCTAATTTTGGTCCCTTTCTAGGCTTCTGTAATTCAGACTGCACAGTTTTTTCTGAGGCTTGGAAGGAAATGCCAACATAGGTTTAGAGTTGTCTTACAAAAGTGATCAATGGCAGGTGCTTGTGATAGGATGGGAGGGACGGTAATGGCGCAATGGGTTAAACCAGTGGTTCTCAACCTGAGGTCTCCAGATGTTTTTGGCCTTCAACTCCCAGAAATCCTAACAGCTGGTAAACTCTGGGATTTCTGGGAGTTGTAGGCCAAAAACATCTGGGGACCCCAGGTTGAGAACCACTGGGTTAAACCCTTGTGCTGCTGATCTGCTGACCAGAAGGTTGGCAGCTCGAATCCGCAGGACGGGGCGAGCTCCTGCCGTTAGCCACAGGTCCTGCCAACCTGGCAGTTCGAAAATATGCAGTTGTGAGTAGATCAATAGATAGCGCTTCAGCCAACCTAGCAGTTTTAAAACATGCCAATATTAGTAAGATAAATAAGTACCACTTTGGCAGGAAAAGGCAAAAAGACGCTCCAAGAAGTCATGCTGGCCACATTACCAGGAGGTGTCTATGGACACAGGCTTGTTGGCTTGGAAATGGAGATGAGCATTGCCTCCAGAGCCGGAAATGAAAGGAGAAGCCTTTACCTTTTCCTGTGTGTTTGTGCCTTATTCTATGTCATTGTAATAAGGCATTGAATGTTTGCCTGTATCTGTTTATATGCTGCTTATATACCGATAATTTAGAGAGGATTGTGAGCTTTTCTGTGGCACAAAGTGATGGAGGCTCAAGTCTGGGAAATGATATTTCTCTCTGTGAAAAACCTGGTTCTGAAAGTGCAGGGCCTCAAGGGCAGTCAGGGGAGTCAGAAGTAGCAACAGCAGATAAGGAATTGAGTAAAGAGAATCCACCTGTAGCAGGGGCAGCTCAACCATTAAGCAAAGTAAGCATTCGCAGTATAGTTGATTTTGCCCAGGGGCGCTCTTGAGGCACTCTTGGGGGAAAATAGATCTTGACATATGCAAGTTGTAGTTACTGGGATCTATAGTTCACCTACAATCAAAGAGCATTTTGAACTCCACCAATGATGGAATTGAACCAAATATGGCACACAGAACTCCCATGACGAACAGAAAATATATATCAGTGATTGGTTGGGTGGGGAGGGGGGCGCCAAAATACCGTTTGCTTACCGTTGAAAATTACCTAGGGCCGCCTCTGACCTGTAGCTATGGAGATCAACAAAGTCTTTGTTTACAAATTAGAGCCAAAAATAGATTGCATCTTTCAGAGCAATTACGTGGAAAAGTTGTGGAGGAAATTCACGGGAAATGAATGATTTCATGGGTGTCTATTAAACATGCCAGAGATGAGGACTGTCTTCAGAGCCGGAAATGAAAGGAGAAGCCTTTGCCTGTATATTTGTGTCTCATTTTATATTATTGTCATAAGGCATTGAATGTTTGTGTGTCTGCTTATATACTGTAATCCGCTCTGAGTCCCCTCGGGGAGAAGGGCAGATTATAAATAAGAGTTGTTGTTGTTATGTGGTGCTGTTGTTCTGCGTTTTCCTGTGCCTTGCTGAATATTCATCCCTCTCCTTTGTGTGTCCCATAGATTTTGGCATGACAAGGGATATCTATGAGACCGATTACTATCGGAAAGGTGGGAAGGGCTTGCTGCCCGTCCGCTGGATGTCCCCAGAATCACTGAAGGACGGCGTCTTCACAACTCACTCGGACGTTTGGTAATAATAATAATAATGGAAATGTCTTTGGCAGTATTTCAATGCTCTCCTCTGTGCCCTTGCACACGCTCAACGAAAACACCATGAGCCCAGTAAACATAGTCAAACGTTCCATTTTGGGGTGGGGGGGGGGTGGGCAAACAGAGATACCTTCAGGAAACACATTCAGAGAAAAGATTGTTTAGTGATTTCGAATTCAAGCTGCAGTAGCTTGAATGTCCTCTTGTGATTGTTTTCCTTGCAGGTCCTTTGGTGTTGTCTTGTGGGAGATAGCCACACTTGCTGAGCAGCCTTACCAAGGCATGTCGAACGAGCAGGTCCTTCGCTTTGTGATGGAGGGCGGCCTTCTGGAAAAGCCAGACAACTGCCCCGATATGCTGTATGTATTTTTTGACCTTCCTTATCCTTGAGATTCTTTTGTGGTTGTTTTGGTGCCATGCTGCTCATTAGGCTTGTGCAATCCAGTCAAAAGGCATACTGTTTCGAAGTCCATTTTCGGCTAACCCCTCATTCTGTTTACCAGGAAGTTACTCAAATCAGGAGGAGTGTTGATGCTTTCATTCAGCTAAATTGACACATTGGCTATAATGGGAAAGATGTTAAAGGCTCAATCCTCAGTCATATTATTATTATTATTATTATTATTATTATTTACAGTATTTATATTCCGCCCTTCTCACCCCGCGGGGGACTCAGGGCGGATTACAGTGTACACATATATGGCAAACATTCAAAACCAATTTGACATACAACGTATACAGACATACACAGAGGCTATTTTACTTTTCCTGGCCGCCAGGGGAGCTGTCGCTTTCATCGTCCATCTGCGACACTGATGAAGTACTTCCGCATTCCCCGCATGCTTTTGCTGGAGTGCTTTGCTGGAGTCTTTTTTTAATTAATTAGTTAATTTAGCCTCCCCACACAAGGTGGTATCTAATTTTCCTACTTGACAGATGCAACTGTCTTTCGGGTTGCAAAGGTTGACAACCGGATACACAATTGGTTGGAAGCCCACTCCAACCCGGGCTGGCTTCGAACTCATGACCTTTTGGTCGGAGTGATCTTAATGCAGCTGACACTCAGCCAGCTGCGCCACAATCCCGATTTTAATGCTTATCTGCAGGAAACCTACCTCAGTTTTAGGGTTAGGGTTAGGCTCAATCCTCAGTCATTTTAATGCTATCTGCAGGAAACCTACCTCAGTTTTAGATCTCATTTACAATTGCAGGCCTGCCAAGTTTCAAAACGTTTCATCCATCTACTGTTTTTTTTAGAATTATTTTAAGTTTTAACCATAATATTTTTTAAAATAAGATAAACCACAAGAGAGGGTTCTGGGAATGGTAGTCGTCAGTTGTGTCCATTCTCAGCCAGTCAGAAATGGACACAACCAGACCTTGTATTGGCTGAGAAACAGAGAAAGAGAGAGGGAAACTTCAACTCCCATCATGCTCCGAGAGGAACTCAGAGACTTTTCAATGCCCACCCCATGCAAGTGCTGTTGGGAAAATGAGTTCCCAACAAGGCCCTCCCTGGAGAAGGAACCTAGGGAACTTTTCCATTGCCAGGGAGGGAGAAAAGACACTGCAGGATCTTCTCTGGGAACCCTGCAGGAGACCCCTGCCTCAGATATATTAAAAATGCAACAGAACTCCATCCTCTCCAGTAGCTGGCTCTCTTGATACGTTTTGTCCAACTTTTTGGTTCTCTCCTCCTCATTCTGTTGTTGTGGGATTACACAAAACAGACTACCGAATATTACAAATCACATTCGGTCAAATTGATCTGGGTCCAAGCCTACTGTTCATGCAAATAGCAATTACTTGATGGTTACTGGTGTGGACAGGTCTGCAGGGCCCTGCGAATGATACATAGACCATTTGTCATTAATGAAGGTCGTGAAATAATAGCCAATAGAAATGTATTACGTGCAGGGATACTAGGAGTGTATAATGTGCAGAATTAAAGAGTGGTTGACAAATTAATAACGTGTGTGCAAATGGTTTTAGAGAGGGGTTGGAAAGATAAAACAAAGTGGACTGTGACAATTTGGTATAATTATATAGTAAATATGTGAAAAGTGGAAATAACAAATTGTAAATTATAGACAACATAGAAAATATTATAATAATTAAGAGTATGTGGGATCCAGTTAGGAATTATTTAGAGAATGTATTGAGATGTGGAGTGGAAAAATTGAGACTAAGACTGATATTTCAAATGTAATTTCTGTAGGGTTTTTTGTATGTTTATTGTATGTAAATTGTATGTCCAAGAGGAGGGGGGTTAAAAATCTTTATTTTTATATATATCTGTGTGTGTGTGTATGTATATATGTATATATATGTATATAAAAGAAAACATAGTCAAAAGGAGAGAGACTAAAATGATCAAGGGTCTGGAGAACAAGCCCTGTGAGGAGCGGCTTAAAGAGCTGGGCATGTTTAGCCTGAAGAAGAGAAGGCTGAGAGGAGATATGGTAACCATGTATAAATATGTGAGAGGAAGTCATAGGGAGGAGGGAGCAAGCTTATTTTCTGCTTCCCTGGAGACTAGGACACGGAACAATGGCTTCAAACTGCAAGAAAGAAAATTCCATCTGAACATCAGGAAGAACTTCCTGACTGTGAGAGCTGTTCAGCAGTGGAACTCTCTGCCCCGGAGTGTGGTGGAGGCTCCTTATTTGGAGGCTTTTAAACAGAGGCTGGATGGCCATCTGTCAGGGGTGATTTGAATGCAATATTCCTGCTTCTTGGCAGGGGGTTGGACTGGATGGCCCATGAGGTCTCTTCCAACTCTGTGATTCTATGATTCTATGCTAGAAATAATATCATATGAAAGCTGATGGGAACAACCTGGGGGTCACAACCAGACACAGTGAAGGCATCTGCCGTTGTGCTTGGCTACTCTGCTGCTGAATACGCATGCCCTGTGTGGTCTCTTCCAACTCTATGAATCTATGGTTCTAGAGAGAGCATGTGATCTGCAGTTCCTCCTACTACTTATTTGGAACCCTAGAGTAAAGGAAGCTGCATACTAGAATATACATACAAATAAGCAATAAGATCATAGATAAACATTACTAGAGAAGGCTTGAAGAAGGTCATCATTTCCATCATAGTCTGGTTCTCCCAATAGTCTGAGACAATAGATATGAGACATGAGTGAGCAATTGTGGCTCGCTAGATGTTATTTGACTGCCTTTCGCTTAAACTGGGGACGGAAACAGGGAAGTTGTGGTCCAGGAGGAAGAAGAGAAGGAAGGAGCATCAGGGAAACCAAAATGACCTGTCTTGGATGCAGTTTTGCTTCTATTAACAACCAGCGGTTGCCACAAGCTTGCATTCCTCTTGCCTTTGCTTTTTGCCTTAACTAGTCTAAGGCTCAGTTTACATCTCTGAAAAGTCACTTTCTGGAAGGAGACGCCCCCTCTTTTTTCGTCCTCCCCTTGTTGGAGGCCCACACAAGGGATGCAACAGCTTAAGAGGCCTCAGCTGCTTCATATTCTCAGGAAAAGGGGTTGTTTTGCCAGGAGGCCAGGGTTGGTGTTCGGTGACAATGCTGCGTTTGCTGCTTTTTCTGCCTGGGATTGGGCAAAGAGGGAAAACAAAGACCGCTGTTGGAGGTGGTTGCCCTAAGGCTGGATTCCCTGCTTTGCATTCTTTCCCTGTTAGGATGGGAGTCTCCAGCAGGCTCAGATGGATCTGAAATTACGCTCAGCATTGCAGGAATAACTCTGTAGGGTGGGAAGGCAGAGAAGGAGCGGCTGAGATTCGTTAAGCGAGTCTAGTTTCCCCCATTTTACATTTCCAAAGCAAAAAGTTGAAAAAGAAAAATTATGGGGGAAAAACATCCTTCCATATTGATTGCAATTTTTCTGACATTTTTGAATGTTTGTCGTTGATAAGTTTGTTTCTCTAGTTTTTTTTAATGCAACAGAACACATAGAATCAAAGAGTTGGAAGAGACCTCATGGGCCATCCAGTCCAACCCCCTGCCAAGAAGCAGGAATATTGCATTCAAATCACCCCTGGCAAATGGCCATCCAGCCTCTGCTTAAAAGCTTCCAAAGAAGGAGCCTCCACCACACTCCGGGGCAGAGAGTTCCACTGCTGAACGGCTCTCACAGTCAGGAAGTTCCTTCCTCATGTTCAGGAGGAATCTTATTTCCTGTAGTCTGAGGCCATTGTTCCGCGTCCTAGTTTCCAGGGCAGCAGTAAACAAGCTTTCTCTCTTCTCCCTATGGCTTCCCCTCACATATTTATACATGGCTATCATATCTCCTCTCAGCCTTCTCTTCTTCAGGCTAAACATGCCCAGCTCCCCAAGCCGCTCCTCATAGGGCTTGTTCTCCAGACCCTTGATCATTTTAGTCGCCCTCCTCTGGACACATTCCAGCTTGTCAATATCTCTCTTGAATTGTGGTGCCCAGAATTGGACACACTATTCCAGATGTGGTCTAACCAAAGCAGAATAGAGGGGTAGCATTACTTCCTTCGATCTAGACACTATGCTCCTATTGATGCAGGCCAAAATCCCATTGGCTTTTTTTGCCGCCACATCACATTGTTGGCTCATGTTTAACTTGTTGTCCACGAGGACTCCAAGATCTTTTGGTTGCTAGTGTGTATAAACCAGGCATGAGTCAACTTGGACCCTCCACGTGTTTTGGACTTCAATTCCCACAATTCCTAACAGCCTCAGGCCCCTTTTAAGCGGCTGAGAGGAAAAAGTAAAGGACCTGAGGCTGTTAGGAATTGGAGTCCAAAACACCTGGAGGGGCCAAGTTGGCCCATGCCTGTGCTATGAGTATGTCATCCACATACTGAAGGATATCATCCACATACGGAAAGTACACCTGGAGGGTCGATGTTTGCCCATGCCTGGCATAAATGGACCCAGTTGCTTCCAAGTCATTATTTAGTTCATAGGCTTATTCTCCTGCTTGCCAAGCTTCTTTTAATTTGGTAATAGAAAGACACATCTTTCAAAAGTCACAGATTACAACAGTTGCTTTTATTTGTATCACCTAGCTCTGCTTGCCAAAATTTAGTTGCAATGACTTTTCGAAACATTTTTTTTATCGATCACACATGTGTACTATTTACGATGGACACTAAGGATTTGCAGGTTCTCCTATCATTTCATTCTATCCCATCTTCTTCTCACTAACCTGTTTTCCTAGTGGAGAGGTTAGCATTGTGACTGTCGTTTCACAGGGCTTTGTTTTGGGCATCCTCAGGCCTCAGGTTGGCAGCTCGAATATCTTCGTTGATGGTGTCCATCCATCTTTTCTTTGATCTTGGTCCACATTCTGCAGTCTCCAAATGCAGGGCTGTTTGTGCTCCTGATGCTGGTTCTCTTCTCATGACATGACCATACCACCATGGTCTTGCTTCTTGCGTTTTCTTGCTGATGGCTTTTATTCCTAGGCTTTGATGGATGTCATTGTTTGGCACATGGTCAAGAGGTGTCAAGCCAAGTGTCTGCCTACCCACCCATCTACCCATCTACCTATCTATCTATCTTTCTATCTACCTATCTATCTATGTGTCTGCTTGCTCGCCTATCTATCTCTATGGCCCCATCTCTCATCTCTATCTCCATCTTATCTCTGTATCTATCTCTCTCTCTCTCTTATTCTTCTAAGTTTTTTTTCCCCCAATGGAGGGGTGAGCATTGTGACTGCCGTTTCCACTGTGCTTTGTTTTGGGCATCCTCAGGTCTCAGGTTGGCAGTGCGAATGTCTTCGTTGATGGTGTCCATCCATCTTTTCTTTGATCTTCATCCTCCTGATGCTGGTCCTCTTCTCATGACATGACCATAACACCTGTTTCACTTCTTGCATATTCTTGCTGATCGCTTTTATTCCTAGTCTTTGATGGATGTCTTTCTTTGGCACTTGGTCAAGAAGTGTCAAGTCAAGTGTCTGCCTATCCATCCATTCATCCATCTGCCTGCATGCCTGCCTGTCTGTCCATCCATCCATCTATCCCTCACATCTCTTTCTCTATCTTATCTCTGTATCTATCTCTATCTCTCCTCTTCTTCTTTCTAAGTTTTTTTTCCCAATGGAGGGGTGACTGCCATTTCCACAGGGCTTTGTTTTGGGCATCTTCAGGTCTCAGGCTGGCAGCGCAAATGTCTTCGTTGATGGTTCCCATCGATCTTTTCTTTGGCCATCATCCTGCAATCTCCAAAAGCAGTGCTGTTTGTGTTGCTGATCTTGGTTGTCTTCTTACGACATGGCCGTACCACCGTAGCCTTGCTTCCTGCATTTTCTTTGCTGATCGCTTTTATTCCTAGTCTTTGACGGAAGAATGTCCTCATTTGGTACATGGTCAAGAAGTGTCAAGCCAAGTGTCCATCTCAGCATTGTCATTTCCATTGTGTTCAGGGCTTGTCAGTGCTTCTTTGTTGCTGGCCAGCACTCTGCCCTATACAGGGAGGGCTACTGGGAGGACAACTGTAGTGTCGATCTTCACCTTGAGTTGTTCAGGTATTTTTGAGTTGCACAGAATGCCGATAGTTTGCCAGCATTTTAACCAGGCTGAGAATTGTGTTGTCACCTATGGAGACCAGTGACCCTTGGTATTTAAATTATTTATATATTGAGGCACGTCCTCTCTCTACGGCTGTGTAAACAGGGCCTTCAAACTCCCCGGAGAAGGGAAGCCTCCTTTTATGGGAAGTGGTGGAATGTCTGAAAGGAAGCGTCATGGGCACTTGGTTGGCACGGCGGTCACGTGTGCCATTCCGCTGGCCCCGTTCTGTCTTCTGCAGGGCAGGGGGCCAGCCAATATGTCCCGTGTTCTTGGCCCCAGCTGGAGCTTTTATTCTGAGATGGAGCCGTCAGCAGGAAAGGAGCAGTGATGAAGTAACAGAAATGGATCTTGGGTATTTATTTATGTCACAGTCTTGCTCCTTCACGGAGGAGGCGGAGGGGTGCGGGGTGGTAGTCGCCGTGCCTGTTGCCATCAGCTGCTTGCCTTGAGTGCCGAAAACAGGGTCCGATTAAAAAGTTTGTGGGGGAGACGGGGACAGAAATACTGTGACTGTGAGGCTCAAATTTCTGTTGCCTTTTCTTCAAAATATACATGTAAGGTTCGATAAAATTACACAGCTCTTCCCCTCGCGGGCACGGAGTCACTGCATGTGTTTCTGGTTCTGAGTGCCCAAGTAGCAGCTTTCATGCTTTTTCAACTCGGATATAAATAAATCTTGAAATATGGACTGTCTTTGTTAAGATAATTGGTTGTTTTATGATCAAAATGAGATAGTTCTGTTTAGTGTATTCCATATCCTTGGCATCCCGTCCTTGGCCTGGATATTAAGATAACGTTGAGATCACTTTTTTTTTCTTTTCTATGAAATTTTGATGATGTTGCTTGTTGTTCGTGCTTTGGTTTTATTTTGATGTAATATGTTGTTTGATGTAATATGTTGTAATACGTTGATGTATTATCCTGGGGAAAGTGGAAGGCAAAAGGAAGAGGGGCCGACCAAGGGCAAGATGGATGGATGGCATCCTTGAAGTGACTGGACTGACCTTGAAGGAGCTGGGGGTGGTGACGGCCGACAGGGAGCTCTGGCGTGGGCTGGTCCATGAGGTCACGAAGAGTCGGAGACGACTGAACGAATGAACAACAACAATGTTGTTTGGGCTTGGCCCCATGTAAGCCACTCCGAGTCCCCATCGGGGAGATGGTGGCGGGGTATAAATAAAGATGATGATGATGATGATGATGATTATTATTATTATTATTATTATCATCACTGTAGTTTGCATTGATCATCCAGTGCCATTCTTAGTTTCAAGGCTAGGAAGAAAGACATTTAGGTCAAGTTTCTGCACTTCTGCCTTATCTCTTTATTGCCAGGATTTGGACCACAGGAAGATAGGGTGCATATTAGGTTGCCTTCTCATTTACCGTATATACTTGAGTATAAGCCGACCCGAATATAAGCCGAGGCACCTAATTTTACCACCAAAAACTGGGAAACTATATTGACTCAAGTATAACCTGAGGGTGGGAAATGCAGCAGCTACTGGTAAATTTCAAAGTAAAAATAGATACCAAATAACATTACATTAATTGATGCATCAGCAGGTTAAATGTTTTTAAATATTTACATAAAACTGTAATTTAAGGTACGACTGTCCAACTTTGATTGAGCCATTATTCTAATCTTCTTCAGTGTCAATGTGCTTATGTATCCTTCCAATAATAATGGAGAAAAATAAGAAATGTAATAATAACAATAAGAGTAAAATAATAAATGTGATAATAATAATAAAGTAAAATAGTATAAGTAATAATAATAAAGTAAAATAATAAATAATAGAGTAAAATAATGTAAATGTAATAATAATAATAATAGAGTAAAATGAAATATAATAATAGTACAGTAAAATAATACATATAACAATAACAGAGTAAAATAATACATGTAATAATAATAGAGTAAAATAATAAATAATAGAGTAAAATGATGTAAATGTAATAATAATAAATAATAGAGTAAAATAATGTAAATGTAATAATAATAATAGAGTAAAATGAAATATAATAATAGTACAGTAAAATAATACATGTAACAATAACAGAGTAAAATAATACATGTAATAATAATAGAGTAAAATAATACATGTAATAATAATAATAGAGTAAAATAATAAAAATAATAGAGTAAAATAATGTAAATGTAATAATAATAATAATAATAATGAGTAAAATAATGTAATAATAAATAGCGTAAAATAATTCATGTAACAATAACAAATACAGTAAAATAATACATGTAATAATAATAACAACAACAACAGAGTAAAATGATAAATAACTTTGACTCGAGCCTAAGCCTAGGAGGGCTTTTTCAGCCTTAAAAAAGGGCTGGAAAACTTGGCTTATACTCGAGTATATACCATATATTTTGTTCTCCCATTGCATCTAAAGTGATTCTTTGGTATTTGGATTGCATATTAACCGATTTCCTGGAGCAGATGATCTTGTAGCTTAAGATTTTGTTTCAGAGATCTAGCTTCATAATGCCTTCTAGTTTTAAGGCAATATTTCTGTTTGTGGGTGTTTTCTCAGCCAGAGAAATTGTTCGTGTCTGACATGTTTGAACCTGGGATGGAGTTTGTGGGAACTTCAATACCTCCCCCAAGACTTACAAGTGGTCATGCTGGCCAGAGGACGAAGCCCAAAAGATTTTAGGAGACGTAGCCCAAAAGATTTTAGGGGACGAAGCCCAAAAGATTTCCTCAACTTCTGAGCATGCCTATTTATATTTCAAACTCTGAAACATCCAGGATCATAACACTGGCCAACACACATTTTGATGCCTCAAACGTTACTGGGTATATTTGACTTGCGGATTCCAAAAATTGCCCCAATTTTCCTCTATTGGCTCAGATTTTTGAGATGCCATCAACCGGTCTTCATTTGCTCCTCAATAGGCAATCATGATAACCATATCTAGGAAGCTAGAGCTGATACGGTCTAACTCAGGCATGGGCCAGCTTTGGCCCTCCAGGTGTTTTGGACTCCCAACTGCCACAATTCCAAAAATTGCCCCAATTTTCCTCTAGCGGCTCAGATTTTTGAGATGCCATCAACCGGTCTTCATCTGCTCCTCAATAGACAATCATGATAACCATATCTAGGAAGCTAGAGCTGATATGGTTTAACTCAGGCATGGGCCAACTTTGGCCCTCCAGGTGTTTTGGACTCCAACTGCCACAATTCCAAAAATTGCCCCAATTTTCCTCTATTGGCTCAGATTTTTGAGATGCCATCAACCGGTCTTCATCTACTCCTCAATAGACAATCATGATAACCATATCTAGGAAGCTAGAGCTGATACGGTCTAACTCAGGCATGGGCCAACTTTGGCCCTCCAGGTGTTTTGGACTCCAACTGCGACAATTCCTAACAACATATTGGTGAATTGGTGGTAGTCTCCCTTCCTTCTCCTAATTCACAGAAGTGGGTTTGAAGGTGCTTCTTAAGAGAGGATGGATGGGGCCATTCTAATTTATTTTCATTTCATTTCCAGCTTCGAGCTCATGCGCATGTGCTGGCAGTACAATCCCAAGATGAGGCCTTCTTTCTTGGAAATCATCGGCAGCATTAAAGACGAGCTCGACCCGGCCTTCAAGGAGGTCTCCTTCTTCTACAGCGACGAGAACAAGCCGCCCGACACGGAGGAGCTCGACTTGGAGGCGGAGAACATGGAGAGCATTCCTTTGGATCCTTCCTCGACCCTCCAGCCTTCTGACAAGCACTCAGGACACAAAGCGGAGAACGGCCCCGGCGTGGTGGTCTTGCGGGCCAGCTTTGAGGAGCGGCAGCCGTACGCGCATATGAATGGGGGGCGCAAGAACGAGCGCGCCTTGCCTTTGCCCCAGTCTTCGGCCTGCTGACCTATAGAACCAGGTTTCTTTTGGGTTGCAAACACATACATGCATCCGGAGGGAGGGGGGGACGAGAGCAAGCAAGCAAGCAAGGAAAAAGAAACAATAACAATTCATTCAAAAGCCTACTGTACCTCAGCGGATCTTCAGAGCTATCACAGCTCCACACAGGAGAATCCTCTCTTCAGTTCGAAGTTGAAATGACGTTTCCCCCCTTCCTTCCTTCCTTCCTTCCTACCTTCCTTCTCTCTCTTTGTTTTCAATATGCAAGCAGAAGATGGTTTCAAGCGAAAGGACTCTATTGTGAAGCGGGGCGCACAGACAGCCTTCTAAAACTGTTGGCATTAACACTTAATAGCAAACAGAAAACTTGATCTGACGTGTGTCTCCTTTTCTTCTTCTTTCTCTCTGCTTCATAACGGGAAACATATCTGCGTGACGTTCAACTGTATGACGGCACTTTTCTTTTTTGTTTTGCGGACAAAGAAATCGCATCAGAATTGCAGGCTGACCCGCGCTCTCTCCCCGTTCCCTCTGGTGTTGTAGGTTGCGGCGAAAAACGAAATGGGATTCAAAGGAGAGAAAAAAAACAGAAAAGGAACCAGACTGGAGATTTAATATTGTTCCTTAACCTTTTTCTTAGGATCCCATAAAAAGATCGAAGGGCCGTTGTTTAATGTCCAAGGTTGTAATTGTTTTCAATGCTGCCAAATTTTGCCAAAAGAAGAAGAGAAGAACGTTCTTTTAGGATTTCTTTTTTTGCATAGGCCTGGAAGGAAGGAGCAAAACAAGCATATGCTCTGGTTTCAATGACATACAGACCAATACACTCCAAATAAACACTGGCATTTAAACAAGGTCTAATGGTCTATATATATTTTTTTGGACTGGACAAAACCTTGGTTGTTTATTATTATTTTTTTAAATAAATAAACAACAACAACAGTTGAGAACATAAAGAGGTGGAGGCCGAATCAATGGCCCGCCTTGACATTCTGGACAAAACTGGCACTGGTGAGCCAAACCAGAGAGGAGGGAAAATGAGTATTTTGTGCAGAAAATTCAGCAAAGGCAAGAAAGCAAGACAAAACCAGGAAGGATTTCCACGAGGTGTTCCTGCTGCCCTCGGCAGGCTCGCAGGACAAACAAAACAAGCAAACGAAAAACTTAAGACACAAACATTGAAGAAGAATAGCCAATTAAATGGATTCAAGCATCCAACACTTTGTTGACCTTTCTTTTCCCCTCTATGTTATTATTAAGACTTCAGAAGGGTCTGGCAGTTCTATGTTAGGCCGCGGATCATTTGCATACACATTGTCTTTTTGTGTCACTTTTATAACTTTTTTACAGTTCAGATAACTCATCTATATGTCTGTACAGAAAAAGAAAAAAGCTGCTATTTTTTTGTTCTTTATCTTTGTGGATTTAATCTATAAGAAGTACTTCAGGTCTCCTCCTTTCCCCCCTTTTCTCCCCCTTGCCTTTCCCCCCGCCCCACATTCATTCCCAAGCAGTTTCTGATGCTTTGTACCATAAACGTGTACGGTCTTTTCTCCTCCGCCGCCGCCGACCACCACTTACTTCCCCACGATGTGATACCTGAAATATGATTTGCCATCAACTGTTTAATGCCTTTTATAAACACATCTCTGCTTGTCTTTTTTTTTCTCTGTTTCTCCCCCACAAAACCCCTTTTCTGCTTTTTTGTCTTTTTGGAAAAAGAGAAACAACATCTAGGTTATTTGGGGTAAAGCGCTCTTTATGGAGCAGGAGGGTCTACGCGGTCAGTCGCGCGGCCGCACCACGCCTGGACACGTATCATCACCACCACGACCTCCAGCATCATCATCAACAACAACTGTACTCTCTTTTCTCCTCTCCTTTTTTGCCCATTTGGCGCCCGTCTCTGTTACAGTGCAAGGTATGATGGAAACTCAGGTCGGGGGGGAAAAGTATAACTATTTCGTACATTCTGACTCACTGTTCATGTTCATATTGGTGTACAGTCGCCTCGCCCTGCTTTTCCTTTTCGCCTTCTTTTTTGGGTTGTCTCTCGCAAACGAAACGACCGCACACCTATGTATTTTAACTGTTGGGTGCAAAAAAGCTGTTGAGTTGCAAATACCAGACTTTGGGTATTTTTTTTGGGGGGGGGTCATTATTTTCCTAAATATAACAACAATAATACGAATGGTACCGATGACGACAATAATGGGACAATTGTTAACCTTCCATCCAACATATGACGCATGTATAATTCATAGCCAATGGGTAACTCTACAAGGCCGTGGGCCCTTCCTTTATTCTTATCAGGCTCCTGTTTTGCTCCAATTCCCACATCAGAAAAAAAGGCAGTTTATTACTATTAGACAGAATGGTGAGTGGTTAAGAAATAAAATGGAGATAGCAGAGTTGTCTGGGCCCATAACCCAAGTGTTGATGGAATATAATGGAGGTAAGCTGCAGAGGGTTTTGCGGGGTCACCAAGTACAAGGCCGTTGTATCTCTAATTGCAGCAATTTCATTCAGCTTCTCCCCCCCCCCCCCCCCCCCCCCCCCCGAGAACCCCAATAGGGACACAATAGTCGAATTGCATGTGTTTTGTCAAGAAAGACGGAGCCCTCAATTTCCAAAGTGAAGAAGGTGCCTTAACGCTTGTTAATTCACCTGTAGTTACTGCATGGAAATTCCGTGTTAGCACTGATCCAACCAAAGTCTGGCAGCAAAGAGGAAGGATTGTTCTGAGATGGAAATAATGAAATTGTTCTCTTTTTTATGTGGGAGGGGGTGGGGTTGTTTGAAAAAGAACAAAGAAATGAACTATAACTGCTAGATGTGACTGGAGATGAAAAGAAAATATATGTTTGTAGTGCTTTTTCCCCCTTCCTCGCTTGTCTGCGTAGCTTCAGTCCCGCTGTCTTCTTTTCTTTCACCTCTCATAGTTTGTTTTTCTTTTCCCCCTTTCTAAAAAAAAAAAAAGAAAAAGAGAGAAAAAGAAGAAGAAATTCTATGTAGGAGTTTTTTATTTATTTTTGTGCTATCAGTTTAAATCACTGTAGAGATACCCCATAATAATAATAAAATTTAAATAAGGGTTTTTGGAGTTATGAAAGGGGGACAGTTTTCTTTTTATTGTTTTTTTTTTCCAAACATTTATCTACCTCACTCTTTATTATTTTTGTGTATATATAAAAAATATACATCTCACATTTCTCAGCAGCCGACAATATACTGTTGAATACTGGTAATGTTCATTGTTCAAACCACATCATCCTCCGGGTTTTGGAGAGGGGAAGTCACTGCCGAATCAAAAAGGTTGTGCGAAAAAGCCAATTAGTTGCTGCTTTACAACACACACAGGCATGCATTTTCTCTCTTGCTGGTGTGTTGAGGGATGCAAGAAATGATCAGTGTGGAACTAAAAGCTGCTCTTGTTAAAACAGAAGAAGAAGCCAGTGAAGGCATAGCCATAATTTCAAGGAAAGTGGTGCAATTCAAGCAAGACTGACATACGTATCATCCAAGGTGTGAACACACAGCAATTCTGCTGTTTTTAAGAAAAGACAGTTGAGAATTCGCACAATGTGTTTCATGGCCGGAATCACTGAGTTGGTGAGTTTTCCAAACTGGAACATGGCCATACAGCCTGGAAAACTCACAGCAACCCAGTATTTGCGCATCTGATGTGCATTAGTTGCAGACTAAATTGGAGTGCTCACTCTCCTAAGTGAGGAGACAGAGCCAAAAGAGATGCCCAAGCACCCAAAAGTCGTCCGCGCTGCTAAGAACGGAGGGATGCTCGGGTTGATTTTTGCGGCCGGATTGAACCGTGAAACATCTCAAACCACCACCCCATTCAATTTGCATTATCTGGTTGCTCAGTGGAGCTGCTGTGGTTTCGGTGTGAGCGCCGCTAAGTGTTCGATTCTGTGCTGGGAATGGTTTCCAACGGGCTGATAAGCATTTATCAAAAATGTAATGGACTGGTGCATTAAATCGATGAATTGCCTGATTTAGTCCGTCACTGATTTACGCATTTAATTGGTAAATTAAATTAAATAGACGACATGTGTCAGTATGTGGACGACAGGCATGGGCCAACTTAGGTCCTCCTTCTAGGTGTTTTGACTTCAACTCCTACAGTTCCTAACAGCCTTAGACCCTTTCCTTTTACCCCTCAGCCGCTTAAGCTTTAGTATGTGGACGACACTAATAGCACAGGCATGGGCCAACTTGGGCCCTCCCTCTAGGTTATGGGCCCAGCACACTTAAGTGGCTGAGCGGGAAAAAGAAGGGAGCCGAGGCTGTTAGGAATTGTGGGAGTTGAAGTCTAAAACACCTGGAGGGCTCAAGTTGGCCCATGGTTGGTATAGTCAGTTCACCAGGCTTGCCTTTGCATCATGTCCTTGATTGGGGCTTTTCTTCTGGGCAACCTTTTTGTCACCATGGCAGTGGCCTCTCCTCTCTTGCACATACTATTCTCCACAACCGTGGGGTTCCTCAGATCTCTCAGCTGGCTTAAAGAGGGTTTTCTTTTAAAAAACTGTCCAAGTTACTATTATTTTAATTGTTTGTAGATGGTTTGAAACATATTAGGAGAGAACACTAACATTGTCGTACCTACCCATCTGAACACACATTTCAGAAGCATTTTAAGTGAAAGGCAGTCATGTGATTATTGAAAAGTGGGCTCCTCGGATCAATTCAGCCCACGCGAAATCAAACCACCTTGACTCTACCGTTCTATATTCTGTACTCACGATATCTTTTTGAAAAAAAATAATCTATTTTGGCTTCCACAGCTCTTTTTCTTTGTTTTGTTTTGCTTTGGGAGTGTGTGTGCATGCACATGTGTGTGCGTGTCTGTACCAGATCTACCCTGCTTTTCCCATACAGTCCTCCACTGATAGTATATAATGTATGTTTATGCATGTCAAAAATGGGGTGCGAGGGACAGAGAATTTATTTAACATTCAAGTTCTTGATAAGCCTTTGGTCGCCGCCAGGTATGCCTACCTAGCCAACAACTTAGAAATTGAGTGGCTTTGTTTGGTGAAGGGCAGAAAGTTGAAGTCCTTGTTGAGGACCTGAGAATAGTCCTTCTGTTTCAGACCAAAGGCCCACCTGGCCTTTCTTGTTTCCTTTGGTGGCCAACCAGAAGCTTCCAGACCATGAGGGTAGCAGCCTCTCCCTTTTAGTCTTCAGCAAGTGATATATTATTCAGAAGTATGTTGTATCTGAGCCTAGAGGTTCTGTAGAAGTATCTTGGCCACAGACATTGATAGACTGCTTTGCTTCCATGTCTTTGTCAAATTCCCTGTTGAAACTGTATAAGCCCATTTGAGTGCATTCCATATTTTCTGTGTCCTGAATCTATTAGTAGTCCATTTTATTGGGTGCTTTGGAGCCACTAGCATTATGAGAGGCGGCATGTTGTTTTCTACCTGTGTCCTGAACACAGTGCAAACTGTCAACATTTAAGTGCAAACTGTCAACATCTACATTGGTTTTCTCATCACAACCACCTCCATCTTTTTATGAACCTCTGTATCGTTTTTCTCATAGCGAATTTGCTCCAGGATCTATTTCTGTGTTTTATTTCCATTCTACAGCATGTTGAAATTATGCTACTGCATTTTCATTTCTACTATGGACTTCTAAAAATTTAATGCAACTATTGCAGTTTTGATTTCTTCATTGTGAATGACAGCAACCCATCCATCCCACCTTCTGATCATCTCAAAACTACGTAGATCATATCAGCGTTTGTGTGGAAGGGACTGTTTCCCCCAATTGGCCCAAATTTAAATTGAACCACATTTGTTGTGTTATCTGTTAGCACGGTTGTGTTCAGAGGGATCGTGTTCTTTGGTGAAACGCTTTGTAGTCAGCTAAGGGTATTCACCATCCTCGAATAACTTGGCATCGTTCACAAACCTGGCTACCTCATTGGTGACCCTTAACTCTAGATCACTGAAGAAGAAGGGCCATCAGCCCTTGCTCAGATAGATCTTCAGGGCCAGTGAAGGGAGGGACTTTGTTGTTTATATCTCCCCATCAAGAAGGCTGTCCTTCGTATTTGTCCTCTTCTCTTTCTAAGAAATCGGTCCACAACAGGACATTGTGAGGGTCTGAAGAGCCTTGGAAAAGAAAAGCCTTTTGGAGGTCCATGCATACACTACCTAATGGATTATTGTCCCTAATGATATTTTGGCAGTAAACTCTTAACAGAATGTTGGTGAGGTCCTTTGTAGAAGCTGTTTGCCTGCTTCTGTTTACAGTTTTGTACATTCACTTTGCTGGGACAGATGTTGGACTAATGCCCTATAATTACACATCGACCTCTCCACCCTGTTTACAAATGCAGATAGGGGAGTTACCATGTAATCTTTGTAAGGGAGTTACGACAGAAGAAATGGGGTAGACAGTTTTGGAATGTATTTGTCTAGCCCAAGCATGGGCAGACTCCAACCCTCCAGATGTTTTGGACTTCGACTCCCACCATTCCTAACAGCCTCAAGCACCTTCATTTCCCCCCTCAGCCACTTAACCTTCAGTAGGAGGATGAGATACCACAGCACAGGCATGGGCCAATTTGGGCCCTCCCTCTGGGTTATGGGCCCAGCACGCTTAAGTAGCTGAAGGGGAAAAGGAAAGGGCCTGAGGCTGTTAGGAAGACACCTGTTAGGAAGACACCTGGAGAGCTGGAATCTTCCCATGACTGGTCTAGCCCATTGTTGCTTACACCATGAGTGGGACTCCCATTTTTGTTACTGTTTTGTCATTGTGACTTACATAACTTAATCCCTGCATGTACGCTACCTGAACGTGGTGACAAGTTACATTCTAACATATCAATTAGTGTAATCTCTTCATGTCTCGTTGCTTCTGTTTGATTCCCGTTTTCTCAGATACCCTCCCTCTCCATAAAGTGGTTCAGGCAAAGATATCATTGCAGGCATTCAGTGGTATGTACAGAAAGTGATTTGGTTCTAGAGGAAGGAATCCGGATGGATTTATTTCTAAAGCAGTGGTTCTTAACCTGTGGGTCCCCAGATGTTTTGGCCTTCAACTCCCAGAAATCTTAACAGCTGCTATACTGGCTGGGATTTCTGGGAGTTGTAGGCCAAAACACCTGGAGACCCACAGGTTGAGAACCACTGTAAGGGTTGTTTATGCAGATTTGAGTATTCAGGGTTGTTGATACAAAAGCGGAGTATAAGACAAAGCTAATTTCCATCTAAGCCAGTGGTTCTCAACCTGGGGTCCCCAGATGTTTTTGGCCTACAACTCCCAGAAATCCCAGCCAGTTTACCAGCTGTTAGGATTTCTGGGAGTTGAAGGCCAAAACATCTGGGGACCCTCAGGTTGAGAACCACTGCACTGAACTAAGCCTTTTCCCTCTGTTCTTTAGGAATGGTCCCAAGGGAAATTAAGACTCTCAAAAGTTTGTTGGCACTGATGCTCTTGTTGATTGAAAAACTCAACCAAGTTATCCCAGGACTGGTCATAAGATGTAACTGCTGTTTAGATCTCGGGTTGCTTTGTACATCCCATGGCTAAATGAATCACTCCTCTCAGTGGTATAATGTACCTTATAGTTTCGTTCAACAAAATCTTTCCATTCCTATAGTCAGTGACTTCCTTTTCTTGCTTCTCAGTAATGTACTTCATGGCAAGAAGGGGAGGCATGGCTGCTTCTGCTGGATTTGTGTACGAATGGCAGTGATGGACACCAGATACTACACTCTTTATTTAAAGAAGAGTTGGCACAAACTAACAACGGAGTACGATCATTTAGGCTGGAAGTGCTGAAGATACAGAACGCATCTTAAGATGTTAGGCAACGTCTCAGTTTGGAAGGCTAGATCATTCCAAATTAAGTCCTTTAGGCTTCCTTTCAATAAGATCTAAGGAACCATTATGACAGTGGTTCTCAACCTGGGGTCCCCAGATGTTTTTGG